ATAATGTTTATTGTTTTATAGTTTGAATATATGTATTTCTTTAAATACATATACACTTAAGATGTGAGAAAAACATTATTTATATGTATGTGCATAAACCAATTCATATACCTACAGTATACGTATATTTTATATAAATTATTTATTTATTATAGTTATTATAGAATTGTTATTTATTATCCATATAGACCCTTTTCCAAACAGACTCCCATTCCATCTTAAGCTTATCCTGGTCCTCACTTAACCCTCTCAGAGTTTCTCAATAAAAACTTTTGAAAAAGAGCTACCAATTTTGGTCTGATTTATGTGCCAACGTTGCCGCCCATTTGATTAACAAATATTGAACCAGCCCAGCTAGGGTAAATAAAAAAATTGTGTGCATTGTGTTTTTATTATTTTTATGCCGATTATAACAATACGCATTTTGGCAATAACAAAATGCACAGCGACAGTCACCATTCGCCACGGGCAAAATGAGCAATTCTGAAGAAAAAAACTAAATTAGAGGGAGGCATTAAAGACCCGCAAGGAGTCAATGGAAAAAGGAGCGGGGGACATCTTTTCGCCTGTCATGCCTCGCAGGACTCCTGGCCACGTGCCGCGTCAAAGTCTCCATCGCGTGTTACATCATTCATACGTCATTAATGGCCACGTGTCTGACTTCCAGTTGTTATTGTAGGCAGGGCCATTTCAGTGTTCAGACACTAGGTATTGGGTATTGGGCATTGGGTGTTGCACATGGCCAAGGAGCATAAATATTAGCAGACCTCTCTCTCTTGCCCACGGAGTGGCTCCCTCTATCTGCCCCTGTCTCTGCGAGCTTGAGAAAACAAATCGCGGCGCTGATTGCGTTTCTTATTAACTGCCGTGGGTGGTTGGCCGAAACAATATGCTCCCTGTCTTTCTGAACTACACTTTGAAAAAATGTTCTAAGGTTACTAGTTCTTAGGAATGCTGATTTCCAGTCAAAAATTTGTCCTTCCTTACGTCTAAAGCTAAAATTAATCGTTTTATATTTGTCAAGAAAGGACGGATATAGTGGAGTTATCCAACTTTAGTATTCTTCTGTTCTTGCTTGTGTACTCCATTCCCTTTATTATCATTAAAGGATTGTGTTTTTGGTTTTCCTTACATCCTTTTGTGAATAAAAACCTGTAAAGAAGCATCTTCCAAACCTTCTTTCCAGTGTCCTTGGTGTTGTCATGTTTGTCTTGACGCTCCGTTGAATATTTTTTGGCTGCACACTCACAAAACAAATGGACAGGACCCCGGGCCCTGATGCATTGATGGTCCCAGTGGGGCGCAGAGATTTAATGGCTGGAATGGCTGACGGGCTGGGTGGATGTGTGATTTAGGCCACTGTTCCGCGGCTTAAAGTTAACTCAAAACACTTGACTTGTGGGCGTGGCGAAGGAAATGCGATGGCGTTGCCAAATTGCGGAAATGCCACAACAAAAGGAATTAATTTAAAGTTTTTCGCCCAAAAGCGTGAAAATGAAATTACATAATGAATGCAATTAAAATGTTAAGCCAGGCCAGGACACACAAGCACACTAGGGCTAAGGCTACAAAAAGCTTTTCCTTTTCCCCTGCTTTTGGCAGAGCAAACATTTCGAGCCAAGTGAAACTTGGTTTTCCTCTGGCAGAGAACAGCAAATTGCTATTTAGCCATTTTAGATGCCATTAGCAGAGGCCCCATCTCACTCCCCAACCCCCCACACACACACAGTCGCCCGCAGAAGCTAAGAGCATATAGTGGTAACTAGGTGTGGAGGTGGCGGAGGAAGGATGGGGATCCTTTTCCTTCCAGCTAGGTTTATTAAATAACTGCGTGTCAAAGCAACTCAGCAACGCACAGTCACCGACGCACACAACTGCGCCCACAAACTAGCGCACCCACACGAACGCACTTCGCCTTGACTTGTTCAACTTTTAGATGTGTGTGTGAGTGCTCTGGGCATGTGTGCGCTGGTGGGGGTGTGCGTGGGTGAAAAGCGAAATTTGTTTTTAACAAAAAATAAAACTCAGGAGCTGCGAGGAGTGGCAAAAAGGTCAAACAGTCGACGGTCTGCTTGTTCTATCCAAAAAGGGAAAATAATTGTTTATTTTCGGTATTAATAATATGCGAAGGGGAATGTTTTCTATTTTTGATATTTTGAGCTTTCGTTGATTCTCCCCAAAAAAATATATCCAATTATCAAAAGCTAAAAATTTATAGTTTTTCTGGTCCATCGATTCTGGTTTCTTAATTTTAGATTTATCCTGATGGTAAATCTCACTTCGAATCAATTAATTTTTAAACCCTGACAAAGCCATCTATATTTTAGAAGATTAGTTGTATTATTTTAATCATTTAGAATAAATTTTTAAACCTTTATTGATTCTTTTTTACTATTTGATTAAATATAAAAATTCAATAATTTATGGAAAACATTTTTATTAGTTTCTATAGATTTCAAACGTATAGCTTAGTTGAAAAAAGAAAAATGAGATTAAAAAACTTTTTGAGAATTAAGAATTAAAATTCAAAATACACAGAAATTGTAAAAGTTTATGTATTTCATTTTTTGAGAGTATCGAACCATCATATTATAAAAAAGCACATCAATGAAAGTAAAAAATCGCCTTTGTGTGGGTGAGGAACTACAATTTGTTCGTTGACGCCTATGAATTAGCCCGTCCGCCACCCACTAGGATATGCAAGGACTCACTCTCTGGTCGCATGGCCAGCGGCTAAAGTCGAGCAAAAACAATTTCAATGAGGATTCAAAAATTAATTAAGCCAGCCCAAGAGCTGTGTGGAGATGGGAGTATGTGTGTGTGTTGGGAGTGTGTTTGTGTTTGTGTGGGTCTGTCATTTTGTGTAGCCTGCTTTAAGGAGCAGGACGAGAAAAGGAGCTGGTGGGCAAGTGGGTAGCGGAGGCGTAAGAGCCACAATTGCACTTGAGCAGCTGCAGCGATGTGAACGTCGACGCCAACGCATGTGCACCACCAGCCCAGCCCCATCGCCACCCACCTGACCCCAACCGCCATTTAGCCCCCCACCCGACCGGCAGTCAAAGCCTTTTACAATCAACTATTGTTGATTTTTCCTCCGAAACCCATGCACCGCCAACTTCTCGCGTATTGTTTTTGTGAGCCACCCACCGCCAAGCCCCACCGCACCACTGCCCCACGATTGCGGGAGCCATAGCGGGTGGGTGGCAGAGGGGAGGGCGAATGGTAGTGGTGTTGTAGGCGAACGACGAAACGGTAATATCCTTGTGTTTGGTGGAAGGAAAAAGGAAGTGGATAATACATCCGTCCTTGTTGCTTCGTGTCACCCACTAAAAAGGCGATGCCACTTCTGGAAGCTCTGCCACAGGAGCAGCGGAGTCGGAATCGGAATCAGGAGCGGCAACAGCAGCGGCAGCGGCTGCATTGAGTGGCCCGCAACAGAGACAGCACTAGTGCGCGGGCGAACGAGACAGAGACGGTGACGGAGACGAGGACAGAGAGAGAGCGAGAGTCCTGCGGCTTGTTCTCAGTCAAGTGGAAACGGTAACCTCCTACAAATCCCAAAAGCACTGGCCAGGCTTTAAAGCCATAGTTTCAAAATCCAGAAACTAACAGTTGGATATTCTGGCAGGATAGTTCCAAGTCCTGAAAGTCCTGCTGGTGCTTGGTGGGAAAAATAAACAAAAACTTTCCCCATGCGCCTCTCAGCTCCTCAGCCATTTGCAAAAAGCTCTCTGGGGAAAAGCTTCCACGAGGCCACACCCCAACTCTCCGCTGATTGGTGGCTGCCCGACAAGGGGGTGGCTGAGGATTAAAACCCTAAGTGTATCCTGGCAGAATCGCCAGCAGCGGCTGCGGCCGAGGCAGCGGCAGCGCCTGGCTGAGGCCCAACCAGGCCGGGCCAGACAGATAGATACACACACCGAGCTGCACCCACCACCCACCGGAGAGCCAACCACCAGCCACCCCCACAGGGCCACCGCACCACCACCACCGCCACCGAGCCACGGCACTTCTGCTAGGGGTTGGAGGCAGGACGATGGCAGGATATGCGCGATTTGACGACGGAATGAAATCAATTGTTACGCTGCCGTGCCACAGATCGGACGCAATCCGGTGTCAGTGCTCAAGCCCGATAGTCGTCTAGCTCGATATCCTCGCCAGGAGAGCATCCTTTCTTAGCCAAAGTGATTTACGCGATTTGTTGGGCCTACCCGCAAATACGTACGAACACACTAACAAACCCACACATAGATTCCGGAGCAAACACAACCAAAAAATCACGTATACGTGCGCTCCAACATTGACACAAATAAATCAGTTGGACACGCGAACGGCAGGCAGGTCGAAAAGTGCATTGGAAAGTTCGGGCGGAAGTCGAGGTGTCCGGTAAACGGTAACCGGTTCCGATCGTCACTTTTCCCGTTCCCGTTCCCGTTCCTTTTCCGGTTCCGCTGAGCGTCGCTGCCCTCCGACCGTTTGCCCTTTTTAAACAAATTCAATTGTGGACACCACTTGGCGACGTCTCCGACTCCGTCTCCGTGTTATTAGTTTCCGGGCTCCGGCGACCAATTTACCGCTTGCCAAAAAAGGCTCTAAATAAAAAAAATTTAAATAAAAAAAGGACACGAGTGAAGCCGAAGGGGAAAAGGGCGTAATTTGAATTGGAAATTTGAACTAATTGTTTGGGGAGTGGCACCGAACGCAAACCACTCCAATCGCAGTGAACCCAACCGCCGGCGGTCACAATGCTGGACATCAAGTCCTCCGCCGATTACTTGTCACGCTCCACGGGCAGCTTCAGCAACTTCTCGATGCTCTTCGCAGGTGAGTGGGCGGTGTGTGAGCCGCCAGCCCGACCGTCGGCCACCTGGAATCCAAGTAATTAGCCCAACTCGAACCTCTAAGATTCTGCCGTCGGCTATTCAAAACACAGCATCTTCTTCCGTAGGGTTTTCGTAAATTTTCAAAGGTTTTAAACAATTATTTTTCTTTTCTTTCAGATTCCTCATACAAATCGTCGTGGGGCTCCCACAGTTCGACACAATCACAAGGTAAGTTTTATTTTCAAATTATGGTTCAGATAAGAATCCAGGGCATCCGCTCCAACTTCCTTTTCGATAAGGCAACACCTCAGTTAGGAGCTTAATAGAAATAAATTGTATTATCTATTATTATTATTTTATTTTGATTTCATTATTAGATACATATAATTAATTTAATAACCCTAAAATAATAAAGTAAGCCAAAGAAACTAAGGCCTAAAGGCTGGAAAAAGAAATTACTTGACAAGTGCGCGAAAAAGTAGGCAACAAAATATTTATCAACTGTGTTGAGCCTTATTTCTTGCAACAACTTCATGTAAAAAGGGGGCGATCACGAAATAGTCACTATTATGTCTATTATAGTTATAGTCTATTATAAACATTCATCTAATATACCTTTTTATTCAAAATTCATAATTGCTTTTGCATTTAAATCCCTTGCATTCATTCATTTACGAATAATTTCACCAAAAATAATATTATTTTCTTGCATTTCGTGACAACTTATAGCCCCAAGTTAAGTCATAAACTTTCAATTCAATAATAGAGAACATTAATTTGCACTTCCATCTTCAAAAACCACCAACCCATAAACTTCTTGTAACGACTGTGAATCCTCAAAGAAACAAGACTAATTTGCAAAGTTTGAATGATCACAAATTGCTGTGAAGTATGGAAAATATACTCAGAAAGTTGTGGGAGAGCCCCGAAATTATAGCAAATTATTTCACACAAATCACAAGCCACTCCGAACCTCAAAACAAATGTAAAATATGCAAAACACACACATGACTGCCACTGCGAAGCCAAAAGTGATGGGACTCACACGACCCGAGAGCAGTCAGGCATGCAAAATGTGTGCCTGATAGATGTGATGAAGCAAATCAACAAGCCGTCAATAGAATATTGACAGGCTCTGTTCGGTGGTGGGGTTCCGATTCAAAAGAGCTGATAAAAGGACCGAAAAAGGTGTGGAATACACGTGTTCCTGGGGTTGCTTCGACTCGGTGATTGGGCAGTGAAGCGAGGCGAGGGGTTAAGGGTTATTAGGCTAGTTGTCCCACGCACTAATTGAAATTATATTGTCCTTTGACACCCACTCCTCGACAATGAGAAGAGCACCAGCCAGCCTGGAGCGTTTTAAATCTGAGGAATATCAAAATGTTTTCCAGAGACAAAGTTTCAGCTTGGCTGAACGCATTTAGCTCCTGGCCACTGATGATATCAAAATTGTGCACAGCTAAAGTTTGTTCTCAACTCCAGTTGGGCCTGCACCACACCGCACCACCCAGCCCAGCCCAGCCGCACCACAACAAGGCGTCCGCCCCGCCCCCGAGGCAGTGCCTGCTGCAATCGGTCGCCTTTTGTGCTCTTCGCAGTTGAGTGGCCACGCAAAGCCCAAAACCAAAAATGTCATATGAAAAGTTGTCGTTGTTGCTGCTTTTTTAGCACAATAACTGACAACGAAAACAACAGCGGGCGGTGCAAGCACCACCCAGCGGTGTCCTGTAGATTACACTGCGAGAAAAGTATTTTAATATACATATGAGGTGTGAGCGAAATTAATAGATAGGTATTTTGTTCAAGTCCCTATATACATTCCGTTCTACCTTGTATTTTATTTTAAACTGATTTTTTGTTGGGATTTGAAAAGGCAATCCTTAATTTTTCCAAGTGCTTAGCTCTTGTCCTGCGGCTTTAATTCTTCTCGAATATGAAGCGTGAAGTTTGCCACACAACTTGAACGCGCAGAGATTTTAAATTGAATTGCCAGCGGCATTGTTTTCGCTCTTCGCAATCATATTCCATTAAGGACGAGCCAAGAGATTCTGCGATGCTCATGTCACAGTTGTCCCACGCGGAATGCCCCGGGCATCGCTCCATTCAAACATTTGTTCATTCATTCCCGCCACGGGCTCGGGTCCTTTGATGACAACGACGAGATAATGTTTGTGTTGCGGTTGAGTTGTGATTGCCTTTGATTGTTCGACTGAGAGTGTTAACAGACAGGGCCGACAGGCTTATTTACAATTTGAATTTATTTTAACGCACTTTTAAATAATTTCCATTGCAGGCTACAGCTCCAACGCCCTGAGCATCAAACATGATCCCCACTCGCAACTACGGCAACCTGGTGAGTAATGGATATTTATGTTCTGAAGGATCAGTGGAGGTTTACCTCAACATTTACTTAATGAATGGGCCTTGCGTGTTAAGTTTTCTTGCCCGGTTTTCCGGTCTTTCTCAAAAGTTATTGAATAAAAAATCCTTAAAATAAATGCTACATTATCCCGAGATCACCAAGTGCAGATGCTTCAGTCCACGTGCCGCTTTCAGCCTTTGTTCAGCCTAAAAACCAACATAAACATTCGCAAAACTCCGAAAGGTATTTATAAAACAAGAATGCGAAACGAATTCGCTGGCCAAGTCTAATAATATCGAGCGTACGAGTGCCGTAGCCACTCGAGCCCGGGCTGCCAGTCCTTTTTTATCCTGCAACCCTCGACGGCAGCGGCCTTTAAAATTCGTTTCAAATCCATGCACTTGGGGAGCGAGTTTGAAACCGAAACCGAACCGAAACAGAAGCACAAATCGAGCAAATACTGTCGCAGAATCAAACCTTAAATACGCCACTTGAGCAATGGAAATGGTAATGGAAACAAAAGTGCCGAGCAGTGGAATTGAAGCGTAATGGAAACAATTGAAACACCATAAAGGATTCTCAATTAGAGGGCCTCTGGAGAGGGCCGAAGGGGGGCTCCCAGACCCAGACACACTTGGCCAGGCTTTGTTGCTGTCAAATTTGACGGCCGTGGTTGAGAGAGACGCGTGCCAGTTATCCTGGAGAGGGGCAGTTTTTTCGGGGCATTAAAGCTGTTGAAAGCACAAAGCCAGGCCCAAAGAAACTGTTGGCAAAACAATGGCCACCAGGACTTGAAAGGACAAAAAGGAGGCAAAAACAAGCCAAGGATCGGCGGAGGACTCGTGCTAGATGATGCGAATTACGGACAATTGCGCTATATGTCTGGTCTTGGTCTCGTTGCAATCAGAGTAACCTTTCTTTTTAACACTGCCACATCCTCTTCCACTCATACAGCTGCGGTTAAAATTGTAATACCTTTCAGACATACAAAATGCTCAAAACTCTGTAAAGAACTAAGGGTTTTTAAACGTGATTTTTTAAAACATTGTGCTCTTTTTAAAACGACTTACAATTTGTTTAGCATTATTGTTTAAAAACTTACAATATTATTTATAAAATATCGATCGCTGTTGGTTAAAAAACACTTACATTTTGTCCGCATCTGTACTCGAACATTCACAAAGCTGGGCTCTTGCAACGAGCAGGAAACGCGCACCGGATAATAAGTGAAATGGATATTTCGAGTGTGAGTGTGATGAATGCGAGTGAGAGTCTGAGTGTGGGTGTGGGTATGAGTATGCACTCGACAAATGCGCACAAATGAAGCATCTGCATATGGGTAGTAGTACAGAAAAATATAAAACAAATTTTATGTGGCACAGAGCTTTGTGGAAATGCATTTCGTTTCGTCAACGGAAACTAAAACTTGCCTTTATATGGGCATACATATATTGTATATGTGTTTCAGAAGAGCTTGCCCGCGGCCCCTTCATTAAGATATTTGCATAAAGGACCCACTACTAATGCCACGCTTTCCAATTCCATTCTCATTCTCATTACGACTTTCATTTCCATATCCACCCTCTCGCAGATCCATATCAAATGTTCGGACCCACCAGCAGCAGACTGGCCAGCTCAGGTGAGTGTAAATCGAAGTCACAAAAGCATAAAGATGCAGGTGCCGCGATTATTTTACTATCGTGGCCACGTGACTAAGCCCCGGCCACCCTCTCCTACTCTTGATTTAACCCCAAAACACTTGGGCCGCCTGCCTTCATTATCATATCAATTTCTGGCCGAGATTCGGCTTCTTAGTCACTGCCCAGACGCGGGGCGACCCTAACAAATTAACCCATTGCATGCGAGTTTAACCCTTTAGGGGTGCAGTTTTCTAATTTATGCGAAAGGTGTTTTCCGAAATTTATTGCACCGCCGTGTATGTGTATGTGCGGGGCGTGTCCTGGCAATTGTTTTTTATCCTTTTGCAGCTCTGACTTTTTGTTTCATTCATTTAGAGCTGGGAACTGTCTGATTTCTGGGCACGCGCCCTGCAAATCCATTAAAAAAGAGTTTGCAGAGCCGGAGGAAGGCTCCGTCAAAGGGTTTTTGGCAGTGGGCGGGTCCTCCATAACTGTGATAAATTGCTCAAAGGATTTGCTCATTTTTCTCACAGGAACCTTTGTCCTAAAAATGACCATGGGAAAGCAAGTATATACGACATTCAAAATATATTTTTGTACAATTATCTAGGATCCTAAACAGGATACGTAAGATAGTTCTATAAGCCACCTAGGCAACTATTCCAGATTTATGTTAATATTACTTTACAAAAATATACTCCCCAATATCCCTTATAAAATCTTTTCTTTAAAATAAATCCTTTTTCTCTATTCTTTCCTCCAAACAAAAGTACAAACTTGAAAATGGTGTTCATTGCCTTTGACCACGACCGAGTAAAATCAATAATTCCTATTGATCCTGCGCTGGGGCAAGCTTTTGACGCCGCTGCCGCCATTACGGTGGCGAGAGCTCCACCCACTGCCGCCCACCTCCAGCCAGAGCCCCACCCTCCGACACCACCGCCCGAAAACATGGCGCTCGAACGGAATTAGCATAAAAACCCAGACGCCCAACATTTTCCGGCGCGACATTTACACGAATCGAGCCACTCTCTCTTTCTCTTTCGCCGGATGGCTTCCGTCTCTTTCGATTGTTTGTTGTGCGGTTTAGGCCGTTGCCAAGAGTTGGCGGCGAAATGAAACTTCAAATTGAAGTCGGACGCAAAAGCTCACTGAAAGACACCCACCCAGGCCCATACCCACGACCTCCACTGGGCCCTCCACAAAGTAGTCGTATGTGGTATATGCTGCGCTTTCGCTTTTTGGGTGGCAAAAATGCTGTTTTTGATTAATTATGGCTTCCTCTCAACACGGAACCGCTTTGTTAGCCAGGTCCGGCGGCCTGGCCAGCACTTGACATGCCACACTCATTTGCATTTCCAGCCATTCTCCTGCCGGCCAGCTGCAGCTTGCATGCCGGCCCTAAAAGTGATAAAAAATGGAAACACGAGATCGCCTTAGTTAGTGGCTGCATAATTAAATAAGCCAGCTCCAAACAGGCTTTTCCCAATTATGAAAACAGTAAAGGGCCACAAAAAGTTCTGGTCTTGCTGCAGCTTCACATCAAAGAGCTGGTTCGGCTAATTACTTCCGGTTATGGGGCGCTAGAAGCACATTTTTCAGCTTTGATGGTGACACTCCTTAATCAGCAATTACCCCTTCAAATACTTTGGAAATTTTTGTAAATACCAGATTCATGTGCCCATTCAGAGGTGATGTTTATGGCTTAGACAAAGGGTTTAATTCAAGAAAACTATTTAGTTTCCCATTGGCTTTGTTGTGAGTTAATAGCGTGTCAATTGCCTGTCCCAACACGCCCTTTTTTCACTGCCTCGGTGTCTTCCACAATTATCATTCATCATCGTCATCGTTGCCGGTCGGCGGTTGTGAGTAAATCATCGTGTTGGCACTTAGCACATTCACTTGGCCATGATTTGCAATTAACGCAATATTCATGACGTTCTCACACACGAGCAGCTCTGAGCCACCACCCGAAAGCTGCCCAGGTCTCTTTCGCTTTTTCCCACTCAAGATTGCCCAACCACCCCCGGCGGCTCTGGGTGTCCTTTTTACGCATTTTGTCTGACAGCAAACAGAGAGAAAGGACGATGTATTCCTTTTATTCGTCCTACGGCTTCCACGGCCTAATTGCCAAATGATTAAGCGATTTATGATGTCTGCGTCGAATGCGTGGCGAATTCGGCGCACAATATACAATCATAATTCTATAAATGTTTTAGCCCGAACAAAGGAAAAATCACAGAGGGGATGGGGTATAGTGACTTTTTTCATTTTTTTGGGGGAGTTTGGTGAAAACAAAAAGTCAAAGTTCAAATGGTAAAGTTTAAGCTGCTACGGTCTGGGGGATTATAGTTTAAAACAGGGCAAGTTCCTTTAAGTTCGTTCCGATTTATAGGAATATTTAATAAGAATTATGCTTGTAGTGAAAGTGGCACCAGGAATATCTCTTTCAATTCCCAGAGCAACTCAACCATCCCAGCTCCATTACACTTACATGCAATGCTATTTCCGTTGCGCTACACTTCTCTTACAATAATTTGAGGCAAGCGTCATAGATTACCCGCGGTCTCAGTTATTTATAGAGGGGCTGTCCCCCTCCCAGGTCCTACCACTGGGAGGCTTCTCTGGCTTGCGTTTCGATTCCCCAGCCAAGAAGTCCTTGAGCAGGAAATGCTTTATGGGGCCATTGCATGCCACAAAATGCTTACATTTTGGCCACATCCCCGCAGCCGTAGTTAATTCAGGCCCGAAACGCCAAAAGGATATGCTCTTTTGATGGACATTTAGCCAAGCCCGAAAATACCCACATTAAATGTCTCTATAGAAGAAATCAGAAAGCCCATTTCTCATTTCGTATAGCTAATTTGTATTTTCTGATTCACGCTCCATAGGCTCCGGCCAGATCCAACTGTGGCAGTTCCTGCTCGAACTGCTCTCGGACTCCAACAACGCCAGCTGCATCACCTGGGAGGGCACCAATGGCGAGTTCAAGCTCACCGATCCCGACGAGGTGGCCCGTCGGTGGGGCGAACGCAAGTCCAAGCCCAATATGAACTACGACAAGTTGAGCCGTGCCTTAAGGTGAGTTTATTTTGATGGAAAAAATATATTTATATACAACTCAAGTGTATAATTTTTTATTTGTAAGTTGAAGAATATTAAACTTTAGTCATTCAATTATAAAAACCTAATCTTAAACTGTAGATATAGCACATGTAGAATCATAAATATGAAGCATTTTTGAGGTGTTAAGGGATTTCCATCTGTAAAATATTTTTTAATAAACTCGAAATTAAATGTGTTTAGTGAATCTTTTATTTATTTCACTCGTATTTCACATACTGTTCTTTGTATTCTACATGAGTTTTCTTCAAAATATTTGTTTTTTTCCCAAAGTACAACCAATATTGTTTGATTTCGAAACTTGTACTTCAATTGAGGGGGGTTGTTATTTCCTTGTGTCCTCCCAAGTGTTCTCTAATTAGCAGATATCTGTGCCAGCATCAAAATGCGAACATGTGTGCAATTGGGCTCATCAGTAAACGATTTGTCCCGGCACTGATTAGCCGCTTTGATGGCAAAACAGCCAGAAAATGGCCCAAAAATATTGAGGGCCAGAAAAAACTAATCCACTTTCTGGCCAAGAGTTGGCCCACTTGATTGTTTGTGGGCGGCGCTGGCTGGACACAGAAATTCAATCATAAATTGCGCTCTTGCGCCAAACGAGAACGTAATCAAAAATCCAATAAATTCGAAATCTAATTGCAACGAAACGTAATTCGATTTCCAAATCTAGAATTCCAGGGCCCGGAGTCCAGTTGGGACGAAACATATGCGAAACTATTTGTGCAACGGTCAATTTGCTAAACAAACAGGGCCAGGACCTAATCCTCTGGTCCTGGCAGGCCTTGAACCCTTTTAGCCGCCTCCTTGAAACTGTCAACTGCAATCAGAGAGGCCGAGGCGTCGGATCGAGTGCCAATGGTGCGAATTCGAGTGGAAAAGTCCTGGCAGCCAATTTGCAACACGTCCCGCTCACATGTAAATAAATGCAAAAAATCTAGAAAAATCACACTTACACACTCCCACGTTTCCTTGATGACAATGAGGCGAGGAAGAATCCTTTTTGATGTGCAGGAAGCCTCAACATGTCTCTTCTTTTTTCGCATTTCAACTCAATTGAACACAAGAGACATCATCGCCGTTGGCTTTCATGTTTGCACAGAAATGCGAGCACAGCACTGTGTGTGTGGTGTGTGGTGGGTGTGGACGTGGATGTGGGTATGGATGTGGGTGTGTAAATTAACACTCAGCCTCAATCTCCAGGACAGCCATGCGCACACAAGGACAAGTGCTTTAATGCTTCATTTGACATGTTTATTCACAGCCAGCTGGCCTTTTGTCGTCCTGGCCAATCCTCGAAATGGGTTTACTTTAATCCTTTCTTTCCCCTCTGCCCCTCGTACCCCAGTACATGTTCCATGTTCCGTGCTCCTGGTTCCTTTTTCGTTCTCTGCATTTCTCCTTCCTTGCTGATTGAGCTCCTTTGTCCTTAGCCCCATTGATTGGCTTTGATTGTCTCTGGAAAGAGAGCAATTCGCATTCACGGTTCGGCTTCTCCACCTATTTGTTGCCATTTTTTTTTAAATTCTCGGTGCTGCCTTTGTTTTCCACGCTTTTAATTTATGGCCGTAATTGGCATAATTTATGGAAGAGACAAAAAACGAGGGAGGAGCTCCAGTGCACGCATTATGCCAATTTGCATTGATGCATTGAAATGTTTGCTCTGACTCTGCTGCAGTTCTTTGTAATTTATTTGCCCAGTTTTTTGTTTGTTCACTTGTCGGGCGGAAGTTGTGGACATTTTAAAGCGTAACAATAAACGAGCAATATGCAGGAGGAAGAGGATATTTAAATTGTCGTCAGAATATTATTTAAAGGGCAAAGCCTTCTGGCCGCCAGCCAGGGCCAGGGCCAGAGCCAGATCATACCATGTCCTAATGGATGGCCAGCCTAATGAGAAGAAATCGCAGCTAACCCTCGAAAGTAAACAGATTTTAGCTTGTATTTCTTGGCCGTCTGCCCGCCCACACAATTCCCCCTCGCCGGGCCGAAGAGCCAATTTCTGTTTGACTTTGGCACAAGGCGTTGTCTTTTAATTGCGAGCCAGGACTGCGCCAGGGGAGCGGCACTAAAATCGCTTAATGTCAGCAAAATTAACTTAAAACGCATAAAGCGAGCATTATTTTGTAATTATTTATTGTCCTTCTGAAGGGGAGGTCGCATCTTTTGTTTGACTTTCCCACATTTGGATCAGGTCAATGGATGCTAGGGTTGCTTTCGGAAGCCAGGAATCTGATGGGTAATACGAGAGTCACAATAATTTTGTTTCAGAAATATTTCCAAGATAGATCGTCAAAAAATTTCGCGCAAGAAATAAAATCGTAATATTACGCCAAATAATAAGAACACTTAGTTTTGAAACCTGCTCTTTGAAAGATTCTGAAAGATTTGAAAGATGACTACCATCTGCACCCGATGTTCAATAGTTTTTAGAGTTGAAAGTTTAACTGTGATGTGTTGAGAAATCGATAAATCTACACAGTAAGTTCGTTTAACACCTTTTGTCCAAGTAGGCTTGGTATATCGTAAGAATTGAAGACCTCGGAAAATGTCTAGATTTTCCGCATTCGACTGGCAGTTTCTGAGATGAACAGACCAATTAATTTTGATTATATTTTATATTTTTGTTTTTTATTTTTTGGATTAAAAAAAAGTTGTTGGATGTTTATGTTTACAATTTTTTTTCTTTTATTTCATATAACATATACCTCACATACCTTTAGACACGGTTTCCCTTCCTTTAAGATCAAATTTTGATTATATTTTATATTTTTGTTTTTTTTATTTTTTGGATTAAAAAAAAGTTTTTGGATGTTTATGTTTTCAATGTTTATGTTTACAATTTTTTTTTTTATATTTCATATAACATATACCTTGCACACCCTAAGACACTGCTTCCCTTCTTCTTAAAGATTGAACATTTTTTTTGGTTTTTAATTTTTATTATTTTTAAAGTGACTTGGTTTCTACTACGAGTATAGTTTTCCACCCTCTTCTTTTCTGATTTTTTTTTTATTTAAAAAATTTTTTTTTTGTCTTTTAAATCTTTTTTTTAATGGGAGGGTGCTCAGGTCCATCATAACTATTCATTATTTTATTTCATCAAACTATATGGATTGCTTCAGATATTTTTCCAATACAACAGAAAGTATGTACATATATTTATATATTTATACCCTTGCAGAGGGTATTATAATTTTGTCCAAAAGTGTGCAACGCAGTGAAGGAGACATCTCCGACCCTATAAAGTATATATATTCTTGATCAGGATCACCTCCTGAGTTGATATGAGCATGTCCGTCTGTCCGTCTGTCCGTCTGTCCGTCTGTCTGTCTGTCCGTCTGTCTGTTTCTACGCAAACTAGTCTCTCAGTTTTAAAGCTATCGTCTTGAAACTTTGCACACACCCTTCTTTCCTTTGCACGCAGTATATAAGTCGGAACGGCCCGGATCGGCCGACTATATCCTATAGCTGCCATATAACTGATTGATCGGAAATGGTATAACTTTGGTATTTTTAGAGTTAGAAAGTTCAAATTTTAGGTGAGAGCTATTTTTGGCAAAATAATACGACATGCTAAATTTCATAAGGATCGGCAGACTATATCCTATAGCTGTCATATAACTGAACGATCGGAAATGACCCAACTTTCGTGTTTTTGAAGATAGAAAGCTGGAATTTAGTACAGACTCTATATTTGGTCAGTTGATCCAACCTACCAAATTTCATTAGGATCGGCCGACTATATCCTATAGATGCCATATAACTGAACGATCGGAAATGGTATTTGGTAGAAATATCAACTTTCGTATTTTTGAAGATAGAAGCTTGGGACTTTTTTTAGATTTTGTATTGTAATAAATTGGAGTATATATTCCTATTCCCATAAGGATCGGCCAACTATATCCGATGTTTGCGATATATATCCGGTTTTAACTGCAAGGGTATATAAACTTCGGCTCCGCCCGAAGTTAGCTTTCCTTTCTTGTTTTTATTTTTTTTTTATCCTTTTTGAATTACAATGGTGCCTACATGAATGTCATTATAAGGCTAAAGTTTTTTGTTCTTTGATTTTACCAGCTATTCGACTGCCCCAAATTTTTTTTCCTTATACATATATATTTTATTATAATTTTTAAAGTGACTTGGTTTCTATTTCGCCCGGCTGTCGGCTCTTCTTTTCTATTTTCTTTAAACATTTTTTTTTTATTCGGATTATTTAACCTTATTTTTAATGGACCTGCCATCATAACTATTCATTATAATTTTATTAATGTCATTATTTGACTGGCAGCATCGGGGCTGAATAAATTCTTTATCAGCTTCAGTTTTGTTCCAATACCAGAAATGTGATTTTTTTTGCGAATCTATATATTTAGAAATTAAAGTGGAAGAGTTGAGTACCGGGTATCACCGGTATGAGTATCACCGGGATATCACCCGCCGACGAACTCCCGTCTTGTTTCATATTTATTTTCATTATTTAACCCTTTTGAATACAATTGTATTATATTTTTAGGTACTACTACGACAAAAACATAATGACCAAGGTGCACGGCAAGCGGTATGCGTACAAATTCGATTTCCAAGGCCTCGCCGCTGCCACCCAGCCGGCGGCCAGCGATCCCACCTACAAGTACCAGAGTGACTTGTTCATGACACCATATCACCACAGCGCCAAGCTCAGCTCGTTCATGAGTCCGCATCACGGGATGACCTCATCGTCGGGTAAGCACGTGCTTCGTAACCTCCATAACGGGGTGAATTCGGGTTTCCATAATTCAAACCTCTGGCTGTCAATAGCACATATTTGAGCATCAAATATGCAAACATGAAAGAAAATACATAAAATTAGCACTGGAGACCGTATTCACCTCCGAACTAATATAACAAACTCCAACTGGTTCTCTTAAATCCAGCCTTTAAAAGTCTTTTGAAATGACAATTCATTTCCTTTAACAATCTTCGATTCAGACTTATTCTTAATTTTGGATGTTTTGTTTTGATGTAGGTGATCCTGAAAGAAGGATCAATGTTAAGTTTTTATTTATTACTCGTCAATATTAAATAATAACACTGTAAACCATTTAAAAGAAAAACCCATTTCCAATGAAACATAAATAAATATAATAACTTCTTCTTGCAGCTTCCATCTTCCCGTCGGCAGCCTCTTGGGGCAACTGGGGCAGCCCTGCCACCAACCTGTACCAGCCCCATTCGATGGGCCATGTCACCCCCTCCCACGTGGCGCCCCACCTGAGCAGCTATCCCCACTACGCATGACCATCATCGTCCGGTGGCGCCTTCTAATATGAGAGCAACGCCATCGCCAGTGCTTCGGGCATTGGCGGCGGCGGCGGCACCACATCGACAGGCGTGGGCCTAGGCGGGTCAGGGGGCGGAGGTGGGACTGGTGCGGGTGCCACCAGTACAGGTGTGGGATCCACATCCAGCAGCACAACAAGCAGAGGAGGAGCAACTGGAGGGAGTGCAACTGGTGGAATGAGCGCTTTTGGAGGGAGCTCCAATCTAAATGGCTCCCATGTGTCCACCAGCGGAGGAGGTGGAGGAGGGGCCGGAGGCGGAAGTGGCGCAGGTGCTTCGGTGAGCAACAACCTTAATATTGCTACGGCCACCTTGACAGCGGCCCCGGCTCACGCCAGTGCAGGATTCGGCACCCTCGGCGGACTCAGTGTGACCGGAATGGGCGTGGGGGTCGGAGTGGGCGTCGGAGTAGGTGGGGGCAACTCGACGCTCAACTCCCTGGTAGTGGGCAACCGGCTGATGAACAGCAGCCTGCCCACTCTGCTCAAATGATGCCACTTGGAGAAGTTCGGGCTGACGATGGGCGCGGGGCCGTCGCCTCCGGCTGCCACGCCCGCCGCCTCCGTTTCCGTCGGCCTGGACAACATCCCGCCGGCGTACCACCATCCCGGACACACCGGACTTCCCGGACACGCCGGCAATTACGGCGCCAACGAGCGGGCCCTCTACGATTATCTGGACATGAAGAGCGGTGAGCAGGCCACCTTTCTACTCTAGATTCTAGAGTCTACAGTCTCGAGTCTACACAAAAAGAAATACTTGTAACCAGAACCACCAGAAAAGATCCAAACAAACGAAACAAAATCTTAACTTAACGCTGGCAGCAAATAGGCTTGCGGCAGATTTTATTCATAGGTATTTAGCGAATATAAACCCCAACCCCCTGAAACCAAAAACCAACCCCAAGCTCTCAATATTTTACGGGGGTGCGCCATAGTGTGTGTTTCTAAGGGTTAAAGGATCCAACTTTCCACTAAAATACGATTAAGAATCAATTCAGATAGTTGGCGTTTAAAGCAACACTAAAACATAATAATGAAAACAAAAGTCTCAGTGTTTTTAGATTTTAGACCAGAAGAAATACGAATACCATATATCCTTCGTTCGGTTCACGCAACTTCAAATAGTTATAGACTTCTCCATTTGTTGTTAGCATTCGTGTGTGTAAAGCATTTGTAAATAGCCAAAATAATAGTAATATCATTCCAAAGTCTAGCACCCGTCAGAAACTAAATGTCTAGTGTAGAACTTGCCGCATTTTTCGCTTCGATTTACGATCTGTAAATAGGGATTTCCATATGCAAGGCCTAAATGTAAAAATGTTTAGAAACTAAAGTAGTCCGTTGTGTGTCTACGGTTGCGCACAGGAGTACACTTTTTGGTTGCACATTTCTTAAATTTTCGGTTTTGAGATGGTTGACTGTGATAGTTGATTGTACAGTTAAAACTCTTACATATTTTTTAACAAGCCCCATTACGAACGAATAAATATTTAAATAAATTACGAGAACATATTACTCCCAACTCTAGACATACCCTATATATATATTTGTGTGTAAAAAAGGCAACTTTTTAATTGTAAGTCAAACGTTTAACTATAACGATACGAGGCATATTAAATATAAAAATTAAATGTGTATAACTATTTCCATGTGTACTAATCGTTAACGATCTAAGTGTATACAATTTTTAAATTCTGAATGTAAGCTATAAAAAGCGAAAAAAAAGGAACAATTTCAGTATAATGAAGTTCAGAAAACAAAAATCATCAATGCCCACACACCGAAACCCTCTAAGAATTTAGTTAATTTAAGACAAAACTTTCAACAAAATAAAACCCAATTCAAAACAGAGTCGGATTCTTATCTGTTACACCTTGTTTCTTGTATTTTTATTCGAAAATTAACAAATGTTTTTATGTACAGCAAGAGGGGGGTAGAGGGAAGAAGGCTACCTATGTTTTTAGGGAAATTCACTCCGGTTGATTGAACCACTTGAATTCGTAGTGCTTGAGGGAGTTCTCCTGGGGCAGGGACGCCTTGGTGTCCAGTTTTCGCCAGCTGACGTGCGGCTGGAATCCGAACTCGTTGGCAATGTACTCGATGGTCCGCTCGACTGCATCCTCGCCGATGGCGAAGTAGCTGCCCTGTTTGTCGCCATTGCGACCGCCGGTCTCCTCGTGTCCGTTGTAGTCAAGGATGTACTTAAACTTGTACAGGTCTCCCGTGGCGCCGGATGCACCTGCACCTGTGGCACCACCACGGCTAATGGTTCCCGAAACAGTGTTGCCTCTCTGGGGGCCTCCACTAGGTCCAAAAGCACCGCTAGATGATCCTCCAGTGCCTCCACCAGACCCAAAAGCACCGCTAGATGATCCTCCAGCGCCACCACCAGGTCCAAAAGCCCCACTAGATGATCCACCAGATCCAGCGCCTCCACCAGATCCAAACGCACCGCTAGATGATCCGCCAGAAGCCTTGTTTCCTCCAAATAAACCTGCGCCGGAGGGTCCTCCTCCTACTCCGGAAGAACCGCTTCCACCGTACTTATTGGCTGCTGATGTATTAAAAAATTGGTTGATTACAGTGAAAATTTAGAATTCGAAAAAATTACTTACGGGCTGCATTTCCGGTTGCTGCATTGGCTGCTTCTCCAGAAACTCTCGTAAGGGTTGGTGAACCTAAAAAAATTCCCAAGAGAAAATTAGTGTATATCGAAACCATATTTACGATAAAACGGGGTAGTTCTACTCGCAACCGTGTAGGTGGCGCCCAAACTATGGTCTGGGACCGAATAACGATAACAGTAGTTCTTTTCGCAACTGTGTAGGTGGCCCGGATCAGCTAAGGGCTTTGGAGAAGATTTCCAGTTCAACACGTGAAAAGGAATCCAACATACCCTTGTGCAGTACGATTATTATAAGAGCCAAAAAATTAGAAAATAGTAATTATAATAAATAAAAAAAAATTCTGATTAGACTTTTCAATTTAGATGGCAGCAAAATAAAATAATTAAGGACTAGGTGCTTTGGCTTAAAGCACTTGAGTCTTATTGTGACCGTCTTATTGTGGTCGCACCATAGAATAATAAAATAAGATAAAATTTAAAAGGAGTAAAAAGTTAAAAATAAATAGAAGAAAATAAAAAATTTTCCCGAGTCTTTTTACCAAGCCTATACAAAAAATTGCAGGAAACGATAACTAATTTGGAAAATTTGCTTGAAATTTTTTCAGTTTTTAGCCTTTTAAAGGTTATTCTAGACTATATATATATATATATATATATATATATATATATATATATATATAAATAAAGCTGCTTTTCAGCATAAGAGACGATTAAAAAAACCCTAGTCCCTGTAAAATTCGCCCAATTCGGCTGAATTTTGTTTTTTAGTTATAAATAAATGTTTAAGATTAAAAAATAATGTATAAAAACTTTCTGTTGGCCTTTAAGATCCACGCGTTTAAAAGTCCTGGCATCTGGAAGCCAAGGATTGACCTTATTTCTTTTAAAATTTTGAAACATAATATAAATTACTTCAACGTTTTTGGCTTACTGGAAAGTGGTGTGTGTGTATTGAGTGTTGGTGTTGGAGTGTATGTTGGAACCCTAGGGGCGCCCGCAGACGACGATGACTTGGAGGAGGAAACCCTCTTGGCGGCCAAAACTCCCGATTTGGTAACATGGCCAAAGCCAGCGGCCGGATGTTGGGTGATCTTCTGGATGTTGGAGCTGGCAGCTTGAGGTCCTGAACTTCCGACGGCAAAGATTTTCACATCACTGGCGGGCACTGTGGCAGGAGGGACAAGGGGCTGTTTGGAAAGGGGCAAGAGCGCTGCATTACCTCCACTGTAGGGGCTCGGTTTCCTGAAGTCCGCCTGACTCAACTTGATGTTCAGAGGGTTGTGGCTCGATGCCGTTGACTCCTTTACGATCACGCCCACATTGAAGTCCACTGTGTGGGGGCTTTTCGGCGAGTGGGAGCTTTGTGTCTGAGTACTCACGTGTCCTGTTACCGCCTGTTTCGTCGTGGTGTACGTCTTCATGGCCAGGTCAAGACCCTGATGGATTTGTTTGGTGGGTGCGCTCGTGTCGGTGTTCGTGTAGGTGTTGTGATGTGTAAGTGTGAGGGGAGTTCCCTGGGGCAGGCCCAGGATAGCCTGTTCAAGGGAATTACGGAACGGCAGCTCCACATTTACTCCCCGATCATTACCTGGTGCTGCCTGAGCATTCGATGGCTCAAGAGGCTTGGACAGGGTGCGAATCTCGGTTTTTCCTGCGCTCGCAACGGAGGTCTTCTTCAGGAAACATCCAGCACATCCCTCCGTATTAAATGCACTCCTGGGCGGAGTGGCTGCCACTGGCAAAGCCTTCGGTGTTGTGGTAGCCGGCGAGGACTCTGGGGAAAGGACATATAAATGAGGCCAAAAGAAAGTTCAACTAAAACTAAGTATAGATAAATTTAATACAGGTTTAAACTTTCACTTTCAAAGAAATCAAAAAATACACCTAGTTGTGTTCCGGTTTATATTAGCAAATATTTTATTCAAAAATCATTTGGGTTCTTTTTCCTGTTTAAGCAATTCAACTATATAATACGTATAATTCTATTAAGCAAAACCTCGATAATCTTTAGCAGAGTATTTTATTCAATCCATTGTTTTAGATTATTTTTATTTTTTTATTTTTTGGTAAAGATTAATTAAGAAAGGAACAAGAACACAAACCCGAACACGTCAGAAAGAGTGAAGAGCAAACAATATGGCTTATATTACAAATTATTATTTAAGAGTCTAAAACAAATCAAGTTTAAGATTCCATTTAGGATCAAGTTTCCAATTAAGATCGATAATCAATTAATAAATATAATCAATAATTAATAGTGCACTAATTACCTAATTATTTATTTCCTTACAATTAATTTTAACCAATTGAGACTTAGTATTCAGAGATATCTTAAAGTTCAATTAATAATTTATTATTTCATTGTTTTGAATATTACTTACTGGTCGAAACGGGTCCTGCGTAGGGGTAGCTCTTCATGGATATTATCCGGAACCTGCCCTCCTCGTCGGTGGCATAGACCGTCACATGATAGATTCCATCGGCGGTGATGAACCCAAACTCGCCCATAACAATGCCGCGTTCATCTGCGAATCGGGAAACAAGATGAGCCCCGTTTCGGACAAACAGTTTTATGTTTATCTCGAATATGAATGCGAATTGTGCGACGATTTTTGATTTTTGAATTCGTTTTATAACCTGCCCGGCCAGGCCCATAAAGATTAAGATCTAATAAACTGTATCGATAATGACGCTCATAACTTCTGAGCTGGTTTCTTATGCCTCTTCTGAGTCGCCTGGCCACCCCCTCGTGGCTCGTTCGCGAAACCAAACCAGCTGCCTACGCATGAAACATTCCTATGTTGGATTAAATATTCCCCTGACACCCGAGATGCTCTTAAAAAAGGTGGCAATCGCGCCGGAGCATCCTGTCCTGCCACCCACTCGAATGCGTCCAGAAATCGAAAATCTGGATTTGTGTGGTCTTTTGTGTGTTTTTGGCTGTTTGAACAGGTTTCCTGGCCAACAAATCTGGCCAACGAGTTTTAACGGTTTTGGCTTTCGCTTGTTTGTTTTATGTTTCATTTGGCTGGGATATGGCTTCGTGTCACTTTCGCATTTATCACTATTGCTTTTGGCTGTATTGGGAAATAATTCTTAATTGAAATTAATTCTATTGTCGTGACAAATTCGAGCTCAAATTGCTCAATGGGCCCTGTTAAATAATGGAAACTATTAAAAAGGAATCAATATACATTAACTATGCCTTTTTGTCTTGGTAGTAAAATGGAGTCCAATAAAAATGGAACAATAAAATTAGCACATCGTTTTTATGGCAGATATAAAAGCAGGTGCATAGTCTAGATGTGTTAGATTTAATCTAATATTCTATTTCTCCGGGTGATGTCATGCCCCGCAAACTAGGCTCTAAAAAGTGCTCCAGTTGAAAGACCTCTGCAGGTGTTTGCATTTGAATACAAGCAATCAATATGCTGGACAAAGATGATTTAGAATCTCTGATGGGATACCTTTTATCGACCACATAAGCCAGTTTAATTATTTGTGGAACAAACAAATACATGTCGAATTTTGCATGCACAACAATTTCCTGAACTTTTGTGCGGATCAGATCAGTTGAAATATTAACGATATCCGAATTGTGGCCTCAACTCTGGCATTTCATATGCCAGAATTATACTTATAAATATTGAAATTTGGCTGTTCTCTTTGGAATTAGCATTAAGCCAGAGCTGAAGAAAGAAAAACCATAAATAAGGCAGCGCCTGCGCATGGAAGCGACTGCTACATGTTATGCAAATCCGACTCCGAAACGATTCGATTTCATTTTTCTGAAAACTTTATCACCGTCTCAGCATAGAAATAAAAATCATAACGACCATACTGTATGCTATATGTTGTGACAATGGCCCCCCTCAGAGATTCGGCCAAAGATCCAGCTAATTGCTAATGAGACCATCAGAGATGGGGTATGGGGGCGGGGGCTGGAATTTCAATTGCTGGCGTTGACCTGTCGCTCAGGTGCAACCATCAAACGTGAATTGTCTAGTGGCATTGCAAAAGACCCCCTCGGCACAAAAGTCAAAAGTTATTGCCTTTTTTTGGTCGGCATGAACCTGTTGCCAGTGTCGGAGTTGGAGATGGAGATGGAAATGGAAGTGGCGGAGTTGGAGGTGCATCGTTGCAGCTGTCTAACGACGTCTGAGATGACGCATCTCTATTTACATATTTCGGTTTTGGTGTCAATAAATTAACGCACAGTAGTCGAGATATGCTAATGGTTCAATTAGCGTCATTAGTCGACAACCAGATCTCACCTCTTTGCTCCGCTCGATGTTGTTGCTCGTCGATGGTGAAGCCGAACTTGTAAGGACGCACTGTGGTTACGGCAGCGGCCAGGACCTGGCTTAATCCCAAGGCCAGAAACTTCAAAGAGGAACACCATAAATAGTCTGCTCAAGATATCATAATTCAATCACTTACAACACAAGCGATTGCCACCAACTTTAGGCTCATTTTGTGGCTTAATTTGTATTTAAATTGGTCACAAATTTATTTTATTTTCACGCCTATTTTCTGCTGAATATTATTAATTTAAGCTGCTCGCGGTCACACGAAAAACCATAAATAATCGGGCATTTATATTTTAATATAAATATATATTGGTATCTGAATTAGGTATCTGAATTTCGAGCGGACGGAACGACGCGTTTCTCACGGCGGGATCTTCGTTTCGGAGCAAGCGCCTCGGAATGAAACACACCCCACGATGTTCGGCAGCGAATTGACAATGTTAATAATATTAGGTAAACATTATAAAACATTAGAAGCGGACGCGGACCTGCCGCTCGCCAGGCCACTAGCCGCTGGCTGGGTGTATGAGTGCGTATCTGTGTGTTCCGTAGTTTGCATGTGTGCCATCTGTACCTGTATCTTTGTATTTGTGTATCTCAATCCGTAACACAGAGCTGGTAGCAATGCCAAGAACGGCAACCGCATCACACCTCTTGAGCCACCAGCCAAGCCTGTCCTCATAACTTTAAATTTCATGCACTCTGCATAGTTATTTATTTGATTATTTAAACTGCTTGTCAGCTAGTTCAAAATTATAATTAGCATCCACGGAATGTTCGAAACACCATATAAGAATTCGTTATATAAAATTAGATGAATAGTTCGATCTTCCTGAGGCGATCAGGTACTTTTGTTCTTAGTTCCATATTTAAAATGTATTTTAAAGTCATTTAAAGTCATTAAGAATACCCATACATATTATCCTTCACATGATTATGTAATTTTGATAATCCTTCTTTTTTTTATAAATTCCCACAAGGGTTGGGACTTCAATGTCTTTTAAAATAAAAATGTAAAGAAATTACAAAACTTGACCTTAATGCATTCATGCAAAATTATATTTCTGGTTTGATTAACTTGATTTATTGCCGAGACCGATACATGTACATATTTGCTAAGCATTCTAGTATAATTTAATTAACTAGTCTTTTTTCCAAAAAGTGTGCTGGGGGTCAAGTGTCTTCCCCGCAACCAGAATAATTACTTCCACTATTTGTTGTTAATTAAACGATACCACGTATTTGTCTTCCAACCAGTTGAGTCTAATCAGTGGCCAGGCATTTGACCTGCTGGTGAGCAAATCGAAATGCAATGAGGAAGATGTTTGCCTTTTCAGTGTTCACATTCTCGATCGGCAATCAGCAGTCGGCGTGTCTTCTGCCGGATGCCGGCAGCCGTCAGCCAATTGCAATTGATATATTGCTGTCGAGTTCGGCAATGACGGATGTTCTATGCAAAATTTGCATATAAATTGCAATAACTTTTGCCTTTCAGTGTGAGCATAAAAACTATGAATCTAACAAGGTTCGCGCGCACTCTTTAGCCAGTTCAACACCCAAAAGTATGCATTCAAAAAATCAAGTTGGCTTCCTAAGTCATTAGTTTAGTTTGAACATTTCAAGCTGTGCCCCAAAGTCAGCTCTTTAATTCGATTTATTTTTATGTAAAAAAGGTGTTCCAAAGCTCCCCAATTACCCACAACATTTTTTAAAATTGCATAAAAATCTTTGAAATCACGAGTATTTCTTTTAAATAAAAATATCAATATAATTGTATATCGTTTAGTTTATCGTTATCGTTTATCGTATGTTAGTATGAAAATAAAAATTTGTAAAAAATAATTATCTATACTATTTTAGCATTATATCAACATACATCTTATGTACCTGTTCATAAATCGTCTTTTGGAAATTTCAGTATTGCAGCAGTTTTATGCTGTATAAATCAAAAACCAAATCGGCACATGCTTCTATATATGTACATACAAAATAAAAATATTTTTCTTATATTTTATATTTCTTATTTATTAGTTAAATCGTAAAATCGTCAAACATGAAACTGAATTTCCAGCGTTTTAATTAGGAATAAATGATTGATTACTAAAATTACTGAAAATGCTAATTTGATGATTAGCTTTGCATAATTTGCGAAACCGAATTATATTCGAAGGACTCTGCGGAGGATGACTTGAAATTCGCATTTAGTTTAGTGTCGGTTGAAGAGATCAGTAGATGATCAACTGACACAGCTTGAATAGCCGTCCCTAATTGTGTTTGGTGTTAAGAACCTACAAATCCAAAGCTATAAAGGTCTGATTGGCCATTAAAGATAAGCTATTTCAGAACGTAAGCCTTAATAAATTATATGAGGGCAAGCACCATTTTACAATAAAACACATTAAAGAATTACTTATTCATTTTTCATATATTCAACAAACTATTTTCTTTGACTTAGGAAATTTTTTCTTTTAATCGACATATTTCATCGATTTCAGGAAAGTGTGGGGAAATAACAAGGTATTTTGAAGGATTGACGGAGGGACTACAGTTGCTCTGGTTGGAAGCGACTGAACTTAGGCCTCGGGGGCAACGGGCAGATGGGCACCCTGGGGCTGGAATCCGTTCTCATCGGCGATGTAAGTCACCTCGTAGGTCACACCATCATCAGCCACAAAGCGGTAGGAACCAGTGACGGAAATGGCCTCATTCTCGGATCCAATGTTCTTCAGCTGTCCTGCAGCCTGAGCAGCCTGACCATCGCTGGTCTCCCAGCTAGTTAAGAGAAGGGCAGGAAATAAGTATTTGTCCTATTTGTAAGTAATTGTCCTTTTATCTTACTTGTATTTGAAGTTCTCAGGTCCGACATCAGACTCCAACCTCAGGATCTGAGCTTCATCGGTAGGGGCAGCCACGGCCAGGGCGAAGAGGGCGACGAAGACAATCAGGAATTTCATGGTGATTTTTGGTTTGTGTTGATCTGCGGTTCTTGAACAGTTCGCGACGAATGGTACTGATCGAAGTTCGTGTAAACCCTTTTATAGATGGCAGACTCCCTGAGTTTATTCAAAGCGGGTCAAACTAGTCAAACATGTCCAAAGCATAATCAGCAAAGTCAATGTTAATGTGAAATGTCTGGTTTTGGTTTCGTTTTCGTTCACAAGATGGACCATTTTAGGCCTAATACAATATGTAAATAAAAAATTGGCCCAAAACTCGACTCGAAAAGAATCGCACCCATAAATATTTCATTATTCAAATTGATGACTTCTTAATCCGCTATTATAGTATTATATATCTGAAAAGTCAGTGACGTCAAGACCAAATAATAAAATATTCCCCATATGGACGATATGAACTGGGACTGTTTTTTTGGCTCTTTTTTTTCTTTATTTTTAACGACATTTCTTTGCTTTTATTAACGATATTTTTATTTACATTAAATAGCCACTTCAATTAAGTGCTTCAAACGAATTAAAAAATTATTGCGTTTACTAAACCCATTTCTCTAGAAATAAATCCAGCGTCTATGTCACTAGCCTGAACTTGGGATGATAGCCAGTTTCATCGGCTGTGAAGCTAATCTCGTACTTCTTGCCATCGGGAGCTGACCAACTGGTTGTTCCTTGGACAGACAGGGATCCATCATCTTCTCCGGCGCCGGGCTTTACCTCTCCAGTCTCCGAACGCGAAATTCCATTGCTGGTTTCATAGCTGAAAGTAGACAAGTTATTAAATAGAGATAGTAATAGAAATCGAATATTCATTTTATATCTTATTTCAGAATTATGAACTGTGAAGCACCTTTAGCTAAGTTTAGTTTATTATATTAATTTTGTAAACTCAATCTTTTGTTTATCAGAAAAGAGGGGTTTGTTTCCTTCTCCCATGAAATAGTTTTCAAAAATTATAAATCACTTCACGATTCACTTTTCCTGCATTTATTCCTGGCTGTACCCACGCAAAGGAATATTTGTCCCCGGTGTTCTCGCTCTCCATTTTAATGGTCTCCGCCTGGGCATCCTCTCCGGCAGGCAGGGCCACAGAGGCACCCACGGCCAGCAATACAATCACCCACATAGAACTCAAATGCATCGAGGAAACTTATTTCACTTATTTTCAGAGTTTTCGTCGCAGTTGGCTGCAGTTTACTGAGATGCGCAGCGATCGAGCGGCGCCCTTTTATAGAAAATAGTGTCCTCATCGGCGAAAAATGCAAAATAATAAAAACAAATGAAAAGTAAAGAAATAAGCAATAATGGAATCATTCAATAAAACACATTTTAATTACAGATTACCACTCTAAATACCCTGCACTAATCGTGAGCACAGGTATGCCCAGTACGAGATAATGCATGCTATTAACTTGTCCAACACTTTTTAGACTGATCCACGCTGCGGCTAGACAGCCTTAATGGCATAACCTTAATTATATTTATTTAAAACTTGACTCCAAACGCACTAATCACACTAATTAAATAGTGTGACAAAATTTTGCGTTTTTGTTTTAGAATGAATCCTAGGACATTTCTCAGTTCGAGCTTTGCAAGCTCTGGCATTCCACTTTTTGTTATGGTCGATCGTGAATTTTCCATTGTCATTTCTCATATTACCATCAAATAGTATGAATGATTAAGTATCGTCGCATACTTATGCATGTGTGTTTGTTTAAAAAAATCAATTTCTATTAAAAAATCAATCACAGATCTATCCAGGGAATTCTGAAACAAAAGTTCCATAAAGATGAATTGTTTATTTTTGTAGATTTCAATTTGTTAAAACTTTTTGAAAAAAAAGGTTTTTGTTTTTTTTTTTTAATTATAAAACTATTTAAAATTAGTTGTAGAGTTTAAAACGCAAGTTTTTAGGATTTCATTTTCTCTCTTTTATTTTCAACAAATGGGGGAATTGACTTAGTTCCTGCTTTATAAAAAAAAAAGACAGGATCGGTTTGGTAAGGATTTCAGGTATTAACAAGGGATGGGTTGGAACTTTGGGATCTCAAGCCGTTCAGCTTAGGCCTCGGGGGCAACGGGCAGATGGGCACCCTGGGGCTGGAATCCGTTCTCATCGGCGATGTAAGTCACCTCGTAGGTCACACCATCATCAGCCACAAAGCGGTAGGAACCTTGGACGGAAATGGCCTCATTCTCGGATCCAATGTTCTTCAGCTGTCCTTGAGCCTGAGCAGCCTGACCATCGCTGGTCTCCCAGCTAGTAAGGAGAAGGGCAGGAAATAATTATTTGTCCTTTTTTTATGTAATTTTCCTTTTATCTTACTCGTATTTGAAGCTCTCAGGTCCGACATCAGACTCCGACCTCAGGATCTGAGCTTCGCTCCCCGGAGCAGCGGGGGCAGCCACGGCCAGGGCGAAGAGGGCGACGAAGACAATCAGGAATTTCATGGTGGCTTGGTTGTTTTGTGTTTTGATCTCGAGGAGTTCGCGACGAATGATGGTCACTGCTGGCCGGGTCACACTTTTATAGGTAGGTGGAGGGTCCAAAACATTGGCAATTATGCGAAAGGCGGCCGAACTAGTTAAACACGTCCGAAGCCTAATGTGATAAATGTGTGATATTGGGTTTGGGTTAAAGGCGAATCGTTAAAAACCCCAATACGAAATGCAAATCGGCCCTCTTCGCCGAACATGGCATTGTATGTTGGTGTCAATCGGCTATTCAGATTTGACTTGTAGATTACCCATCAGACACACGGCTTCAGTCGATATTAGCTAAAAAAAAAAATATAATTTTTATTCTATGATTCTGCTTCGAAATTTTGTTGAAAGAAAACAAAAAGTTTTTATTAAAAAATGTTATTATTATAACATAAATGTAAATTTTATAAAAAAAAAATAAAATAACTCTTGTTCCACTCAATTTATTTATTATTTATTTTTTTTTTTTTGAGAACTTTTCCAATTATTAACGGATTAGTTGGGAAAATAACAACTTAAAGATTTTATGAAGGTACTACACTTTTTGCTTTTTATTTTTGACAAGCATCGGACTCTATGTAAAACTCTGTGTCTTAAAATCTTTACTAAATGCTGGTTTTGTAATGCTAATAAAAAGTAATGCCAAAGTTGTTTCATAACCAATTTTTATTTAGTATTAACAAGCTAAGCGGTTCACTCAGTTGCTGTCCTTTCATAATAAAGACTAGAAACGGTTTGGTTAACAAAGAATCGCGCATTCAAACTGCTTTCAACGAAGGCAACTCTACTTTGGCAACTTAGGGGGCGACGGGCAGATGGGCACCCTGGGGCTGGAATCCGTTCTCATCGGCGATGTAGTTCACGGTGTAGGTCACACCGTCATCGCCCACGAAGGAGTAGGATCCCTTGACAGCCAAGGACTCGTGGTCGGATCCAGGGTAGTTCAGTACGCCAGTAGCCTGACCCTGTTGGCCATCGCTTGTCTTGAAGCTAAGGGGGAGTTTTTTTCATGATTATCGATCCTTTTGAGAGATTATCCTTTCACTTACTCATAGTTGAAGCCCTCGGGTAAAACTTCAGACTCCAGCTTCTCAATGTAAGCTTCGGGGGCGGCAAGGGCAAGGGCGAATAGGGCGACGAAGGCGATCAGGAACTTCATGTTGCAAGTTTGTTGGCTTTTCGAGGACTTTACGACGAATGATACTCTGTGGTGGCCAGATCACTCTTTATATAGCCAAAAATTGCCCCAATCGGCATATTTCGCCAAATGCAGCTGAACTAGTTAACCGACATAATGCGGCTATTGATTTGCGAAAAAAATGCAAATTAGCCCTCTTCGAAAATTTGAAATGCGCATTTTTTGCAAAACTGTCACAAGCGCCGAACTAAAAAGTGACTATTTCTTGAATCAATTTGCTATTTTTTATCTGATTTGGACACTATTGCAGTCTTGCCACAGAACGCATTATAGAGCTAGTTCTCCACAAATATTCAAATAATCAAGTTTCTAAAATAATGCGTGGCATCGAGAAATATGCTTATCGAAAATATACAATATTGCTTAAACTAAAACTTGACTTCAATCATAAATTTCAGCATAGATTGTTTTTATTAAAATATAGTCACAAGTGCCTGCTAGTCGGTTTTCTATAGTATGCATCTGATTGGTTGGTTATTTATTGAGAAATAAACGGTTTGTTCTATTATATCATGTACTTTCTACGGCTCTAAAGCAATACAATACTAATGAGGTATTGCCCATTAACATTAATCGGTTGTTCAACAACTCATTGTTGGGCCTTTTATTTATAGACTCACTAACACCTCACTAGTGCAATTTGCATTCAACTATTATTATGTTTCTATACCGGATTGCATGTCAGAGATTCAAATTAAGTTTAATTATTTCAACAAGGTTTTTCGACATAAGGCATTTAACTAACTAACTTTTACAGCCCCTATAAATTTTAAAGTTTTCACAAAATTGAAAACATCTCACTGATGTAAAAATGAAGTTTAAATGCATCTTTGTTGGTCTTTTACAAAGCAACAAGGGGTTGCTTTAAGGGAAGCTTTCAAAAAGATAAATAATGTAAAACTATAGTATTCAAAGTTCATAAAATCACACTTTATTCCTTTTCTTCCATTCTAGACTGATTAAAAAAGGAGACATAATCATCTAATTGTGTTTAATTGCCTTATTTTTAAAAAGATAAAAAGTTCAGTTCATTATATAAGATACATATCAGGTCGAATAAGAATCGCAAATATGTAATACAGTTGGCCGATTCTTATGGAGACTAATGTTATACGAAGCCTTCTTTTATCAGAGCCACCAATGTTGTGGCGTTGCCGATTTTTCAGTTATATGACAGTTTTAGGATATAGTGGACAGACCGTGCCGACTTAAACTACTGCGTGCAGTTTGAATCGATAACTTTACAACTGAGGGGTATACTTTATAGTGTCGGAGATATCTCCAACACTTCGTTTTTCTCTTAAGACCATTACTTATATCACATAACTCTTATAAAATTTAACTCATTTATAAACAGTAGCGAAGTGGAATGTGTTATATACACCAAGTCATTGCATGTCGGATGATGCTAAATTGTACTATACAAACAAATATTTGGATTGCACAGCAGTCTGGGCATAGATTACAGGTAAACAGGTAACTTAAAGGATTTTGCCAGTATTAATATTCTAATATGGTATGGTAATATGGTAAATGATATTGGTAATGTATATTCATATGGAAGATCTGTTATATGATCTTAATTACAGTATGTTTTAAATAAACAATGCCAATTTTTCATTCAAAAGCACAAAAGAAGGGGATGGAAAGACGAATCAGGCCTTGTCCTTTGAACAAATTAAACACATATGCTCATGTAATATTCTAATTTTGCTTTATTTTTTAACAAATAATATTTTTTGACTTAGGTTTTTGGGGAATGGGTAAGGGGAAGTGGCTATATTCGCCTGGGACTGAAATATCATTTCGCCATGGATAACTTAAGCCTGGGGGGCAACGGGCAGATGGGCGCCCTGGGGCTGGAATCCGTTCTCATCGGCGATGTAAGTCACCTCGTAGGTCTGGCCGTCATCAGCCACAAAGCGGTAGGATCCTTGGACGGAAATGGCCTCATTCTCGGATCCAATGTTCTTCAGCTGTCCTGCAGCCTGAGCAGCCTGACCATCGCTGGTCTCCCAGCTAGTTAAGAGAAGGGCCGGAAATAAGTATTTGTCCTATTTGTAAGTAATTGTCCTTTTATCTTACTCGTATTTGAAGCTCTCAGGTCCGACATCAGACTCCGACCTCAGGATCTGAGCTTCATTGGTAGGGGCAGCTACGGCCAGGGCGAAGAGGGCGACGAAAACGATCAGGAACTTCATGGTTGGATTGTTGGGTTGGGTGTTGATCTCGAGAGATTTGCAGCGAATGGTATCAAACGGAGACCATAAGACCTTTTATACAAATCGAAAAACTATTCCACCGAAATGCTGCAAAATATATAAAAACAAAATGTTTATCCGTAACATGCTGTCTCTCTTTCAACTTTATTGGTCCAAAGTGGAAATGTTAATTATATTATAAAGTTTAGTGTGGTTTCGATTTATGTATTAAGACCTGCATTTGGCAATGAGACTGTAACTTTTTTCATTTAAGCAACTTAGCTACCCACCAAAAAGGGGCTTAAGGACCATTTGAAGAAACATATTCCAAAAGTATATTTTTTCCGAAATTTCCTTCAACGCCCAAGTGCAGGGCTCACTGGTGCAGACTTTGAATCCAAAGTCGTTTGGAAAACGTGCCAAAATTTGGCAGCTGGCCAAGATCTAGCAAAGTTCCTTCTGACCATAATCATGGATATGCAAATTTTTAACAATTGGGCATGGCAACTACGTCAGCAAAGTGGCTGTAGAAGCAGAAGAAAAAGATGCTAAAGTCGCGGCCGAGCGGATTATAATAAAACTAGTTTGATCATTGTCGCTTTTTATTCATGCATATTAATATGGCTCTTTGGCTATGTGTGTGCTATGTTATTTTATTTTTTAGCAGGCATCTTCCAAATTTCATTAGCATCGCATGAAATTTAAATCAACGCCAGAAATTAACCTTCAAAACTTCGTTTTCATTCGTGGCCAGATCGCTCGCACATATTTCAATATGCGCCACTTTAATTATGTATTAATTACAACGACAACAAAAACCCAATCAAGTTTCAACGTGCCAAAAATTTGCAAATTTCTGTCGGCCGAAGGTCAGCCAGGCAGAGTCGCCGGGCCAGCTGAGAGAGGATCATCTCGTTTAGCAGCCAACGGTGCGTATGAAAACGCAAATAAATAACCGCGTAGTCTACTCCGTTCTGCCACCTGTTGCGTCATACTTTTCTTTTCATTTCACTGGAGGAACAAGTTATGGCTGTCTATGCCCCTAAAGCCCTTCTATAAATAACTGATATTTAGCATAGTGATCCGGGTTCAAGAAACCAAACGATCACCACATACACATACAATAGTTTTTAAACATTTTATTGGTTAGTATATATTTTACAAAATGAACAAATACTGATTATTACTGTCGGCGCTCAAAGGCCGCTCCTAATTGTGGGGAAGGTGGTCGCCCTGGGGCTGGAAGCCGTTCTCGTCGGCGATGTAGTGGAGGGTGTAGGTCTGTCCGTCGGGAGCCACCCAGCTGACGGATCCGCGGACGCTGAGCGCCTCCTGGTCGGTGCCGGCGTTCTTCAGCTCGGCTTGCTCCTGGCGGGTGATTCCGTCGCTCGTCTCGTAGCTATAAACAATTGGGTTTGTTTTTATAAAAGTTTAAAATTTAATAACTACATCTTTCACTTTGTATTCCCATTATTTTTTTGTTTGTTAACTTAAGGCTGATTTATATCAATTATTTAAGAAGCAACGATATGTACTATGGAAAGTATTGATACACAATTTAGTTCAAGAAATTTAAAATACTAATTAGAGCTTTAATTTGCTTCAAATTTAAAATTAAATCATGAGCAAAACATAAGGATTATAGAAGATCAAGCTTAAAAACTGTGTTAAGTTAGTAATCTTATGTAAGTATTTTACTTTTAAGAGAATTAAAATAAATAAATAAATCTAAAATCAAATATTACCAAAATATATTGTTTTAATAAATTCATCTTAGGAAAGTAACTTTTATAAATTTAAATTCATATAAATAAATAAATTACATAAAAAAGTGACTTAAAGATAATCTATATATTGCAAAATAATGCACTAAGCGCTCGAGAGATAAAATACTTGAACCAACCCTACTCCTTAACGATAAAATACTCACTTAAAGTTGTAGCCATCGGTGCCGATGTTGTCGTTGTCATATCGCAGGATGGTGGCATGTTGGGAATCATCCAAGGGGGCGGCGTTGATCGAAGAGATCAGGAATAATGCGCACACGGCCAGGACACAAATGCTTGAGGAATTCATGCTTATAAAGTTGTTGAGTGTTTGTTGCGACTTTAAAGTAAATCCTTTGTGGGTTGGGAGTTTTGCTCGGCACTGCACGCTCCGGTAGTTATCACAATTAGGCGCTAACGAGGTATGTGGCTGCCTGTAATGAGTGTTGAGCTATTTATAACAGGCCGGCAAGTACCCAAAGTGCTACCAAACAGACGAACCCACACTCACACTCACACTAAGACTCATACTCGGAGTCTGAGACAAGCGATCCGTGAGGAAAAGGTTGCCCATAACAAACACCTCAAATGGCCAGACAATTATCTACCCATCGCATACGCATATAATTGAAGGCAAATGAATGTGCAGCAGTGAGTGTGAGCCAAGCTTTTAATTGAACAAGCCAAAAAAACCAAAACCAAACAAAAAGACACAAAATATTATAAAGACCATTAAGCGTTTGATGGGCGCTCGAATCTCATCTCAATTGCCTCGCCACGGGAGCTGAAAGTAAAATCGGATTTGAGCTTGGATTTGGAGATGATGGACCCAATGATAATGAAATGTTTGGGCCTCTTAACAAATATTTGGCCAATGCGCGTGTTTTGTCCATAATAAGTGCACACTCACAGTCACACATTCGGATCTATGGCAATAGGTCAATGGCTATGTTTGCACTTACAGTCGAAGTACGATGAAGAAGATTAGCCCAAAATCTTGGATCGGAATTAGGGTGTCCCCGAAAAACCTCATTGAGGAAGTGTTGTTGGCAACTACCTACTTAACGACTTATGATGAGGAAATTAATTTTAAGAAGAATGCCAGTTCAAAATACCAGAAATTTCCACGAAATCGTAAACATTTTTTGTGGTTTTCCTTATAACTTTAATGTTGCTTTGCGAGGGGCACTGACTGCATTATTTAGTCACTTGTTTATAATCCTTAATCTAAACGATATGCAGGAGCTACTGCTTTGTGGGCATTTCCGCTCCCAACTACTGACACAATTTCCGATTAAGGCTGGGCGATTTAACCTCCAAAAGTCTCGAAACGAAAACCTCCACAGCCATTTGCTTGTCAGCTGCATTTGCTGTTCAAGTGAAGATGCGGCACGAGAGATTCAAGATTACGCGGCTGGCTCATCATCAGCCCCATCTCCATCGTCAGCCGCTGAGTGTTGGTTGATGACCTTAGTCAATAAAATAAAAAATTTTTTACCAGCCAAGCTAAGCCAAGCCGAGCTGAGCAGCAGCAGTGGCCAAGACAACAAAAGCCAAGAGCGATGCGAGCTTCACAGACTTAAGCTGGGCTATGCCCTACAATACAACGGGGCGTATGCGTAATGCCATTGCAGGTCATTTGCCGAGCTGGGCGGCATAAATAATTCAGAAAACTCGGACTGCTGCGCAGAAAAAATAGTATTATCTTGGAAAAATATTATAATTTTGAAAATATTAACGATAATACCATTTAATATATTCATTTTAATATATTCATAAGAGGAATATCACTAAATTTAAGGGTGTAAGTACTGGTGTAAGTATTTTTATTTAAAGTATCTCGTTTATGTTCTCGGTGTATAACGACATGTCTAGGCTAAGACAGGACTGATCATTTTGCACTTTAGGATTGATAAATGGCAGCAGTTTGCGGTAATTGCCCAAAAATGCCCTTTTTAAGCCGAGTTCTCACTTTCGTTTCCCGCATTATGGCTTCTTTAATTGTTGATTTTTTCACTTTTTTTGGCAACCTTTGTTGGGTGCTCCTCGGCGTTTATTGAACCGGTTTGGTCAGCTCCCGCAGATTGCCGAGATCGCATCTATATACTTGGTTACCGCATACAGTCCAAACAGCTCGGGGCGCGAAGAGGAAACGGGTTTGGAAGATACAAATGTATATGCTAATTCCCTGCCCAGAATACAATTCAATTTTGGATGGGTGAAAATTTATGTCTACGTTTTATTATTATGTTTTAAGCTTCTATTGTCTATCCGCCTCCTGCTTCCAGCTATTTGGTGGTTTCGCTTTTGTTCAGTGTTTTATATTTTTTATTCTACTATGTCTTTAGCAAAGTCCAAGTCTATCACGTGATCAGTACTCCGCCTGGGGCAGGTGATCGCCCTGGGCCTGGAAGCCGTTCTCGTCGGCCAGGTAGTTGAGTTTGTAGTGGACGCCGTCGGGTCCCACCCAGTTCACGGTCCCCTGGACGGCGATCGCCTCCTGGGGAGTGCCGGGATTCTTCAAGGTTGCCATTTCCTGGCGGGAAATCCCATCACTGGTCTCAAATCTTCCGGGGAACAAAAGTTATTATACCTATTTTGGTAAGCGTTAAAGGTTAGCCTTTACTTACGAAAAGGCATATCCATTAGTGTCTATGTTGACATTATCGTATCTGAGTATCTGGGCGGTTTCGCCGGCTTTGGTGGAGCTTGCACAGAAGCTGGCGAGGATTAGGCCGAGGAGAAGCGCCGATCGGGCCATCTATCTCACCTGTCCTGCGCCGATCCGCGAATGCGACTAACTCAGATTGTGCAAAGGCCGTGCAATATATCCACATACAATTCACAATTCAAACTCTGGCTAATTAACTCTGGCCGTGTGTAATAAAATGTGAATACCAAACAATCTGAGGAGCAGCTAAAAAGCCAGCAAATCAAGTCCAAATGAAATTGAAGGCGAACGATTTTGCGGTGAAGAGGCTCCAAAAAGTTCAAATGGTGTTGCCTTAACCCTCTAAAAACGGCTTAATGGGCACAAACAGATATTATTTTGGGGCATAAATTAGCTTTAAAAGTTCTTAAAATATATCTTGAGGTCTTCTTAACAAAATCAGTGACATTATACAAAAATTTATTTATAATTTGACAACCGATGGAGATTAATGACTGATACTGATAATATCTGATAATTTGACATTGAAATTGGAAATGGAATGGCTATCTTTTCGATAGGCTCTCTTTTCCACTTGCACTTGAGCCCAATTGGCTGGGTGACCCAGTTCCCCAGTTCCCCAGTTCCCCATTTTATTGACTATTTCTGAGAGCAACTAACGCAACTCATTGCTCGGGCTGGGCGCACTTTGTTTTTAATTTGTTTGAGACAAATGAAATCTGTGTATCTTGTCGCTGGGCAATCAATCAATCGCAAAAAAGCCCGGCTCTTTGGCTCAGGCGACCTCTCGAAGATCCCGCAACTGGTTAGGTAACAAGGCGTCAGCCAGTGTGGGTCAAAGGAAACAAAACCAGAAACTGGTTTCTCCCCCGATCGCAATGGGACTCGCACTCACTCACTCACCCAGTTACTATACAAGTAAGTATTTTTTCTGGGATTTCTTTTGCTCCGATAATTGCAGCTTACACTATATTGTATTTTATTACACGGCCCAAGAAGGAGTATAAATTGGCCGCTCGCCGAGCAAATTGCAAGCATTGTTCGCAAACTCCTCGAACTCAGCACTTGAGCCAATCCAGCTTCCAGTTTCCTCCGATTCACAACCCAAACACATTAAGATGAAGTTCACTCTTGCTATCGCCGCCACCTGCCTGCTCACCTGCGTCCTGGCCGCTCCACCCGCCTCCCAGCCGGATGCCCAGGTTCTTCGCTTCGACAGCGATGTCCAGCCCGAGGGCTACAAGTTCGCGTAAGAGGCCCCTTTTGCCCCGACTCAGTCTCCTCGGGAACTGTGTCAAGGTCGTTCCACAACCGGTTTCTTATTCACGATTTTTGTATTCCCTGCAGCGTGGAAACGAGCGACGGTAAATCGCACCAGGAGGAGGGTCAACTGAAGGACGTGGGCACCGACCACGAGGCCATCGTGGTTCGCGGATCCTACACCTATGTGGGGGATGACGGCCAGACCTACACCATCAACTACCTGGCCGATGAGAACGGCTTCCAGCCGGAGGGCGCCCACCTGCCTAGGGCTGTCCAATAAACTCACGCAACTATTATCCCACAGAGTCCGATTGGGAATCACCCGCCAATCTGATGCCAGTCCAGCGCAAATGTGTTAACTATGTTTAAGTTTCGTCTGAAAATCATCATTACATTTTAATAAAATCATCGTGTAAAAGACAAATGTTGGTTTCTTATTCTTTGACTAAAAAAAAGGATAGTTATTCGAGCTATGCTTAATTTCCTTTAAAAAAAAAAAGAATAATATAAAAACTAAAAATTGTATATGGAAGGAAGCTGTAGACCTTCTACAGGTTACTGCATGCTATATATAGGGCAACACCTGATTTGATTGAATCAAAGATTGTTCTACATAAGTAAAGTCTTTGAATAAAACTCGTTGAAAAAGTAATAAACAAATGTACGCTTTTCAAGTTTTAGGAAGTAAACCCCTCTTTAAAGAAAGACAAATTATTTTTAATTCAAATAAAACTGTACGATTTTTGAATAGGCTCTTCCCTATTTGAATATTATTTTTAGTCCTCTTTTTTATGAAAACCTATATTTAATAGCATGCGTTAAAAATAGTATTGAATTAACCGGCTTTGCAACCAATTTTGTTTCTCGGATTTACTGTGCCGTGGTAAGGTGCTGGAGGGTAAGTAAACCGGGCCCTCTCGAAACAAGCCAAGACCCATGGATTATCAAAAATATGTTTTGCTTGTTGTCTTCGACTTGGAAGCGATTGGATTGATTGATTCACGAAAAATGCAAATGACGATGATGAGGTATTTCCTAAAAACGGCGTCGATTTGTTTGCCTTAGAAGTTTTTGTTTTACGTTATTATTTGTGGCTTGTTGTGGCTGTGTTGTTGTATTTTTGATTTTGGTTTTTTTTTTGCTTTTTTCATCATTTGCTAGTTGTTGTTGGTGCGTTTTTCAAGCCAATTTGTTAGCTTTGGTGCTCGGCGTGTAATTAGTCATTTTTATTTTCGACTAACTTTTCTTCAATCGACGGCCTCAGATCCGACTATATAAACGCCTGGATGCGGCCATAAACATCACAAATCACAACGTTGACTAGCCGTTCGGTCGCAAGATCCCATCGAGTCCCAAATAAATATCCAAATCCAAAAATCACCATGAAGTGCATTGTTGCCGTCGTCTTCGCCACCCTCTTCGCCGTCGTCCTGGCTGCCCCCGCTCCCGATGCGGATGCTCAGATCCTGCGCCTGGAGTCGGATGTCCAGCCCGAGGGCTACAACTTTGCGTAAGTATCCTGCATTGTCCACACATGGACAGCATCCACACATGGCATATGGATTAACCCCCAACCTCTCCGATATCCGTTTTGCACCAGTTTGGAGACCAGCGATGGCAAGAAGCACGAGGAGCAGGGCCAGCTGAAGAACGTCGGCACCGAGCAGGAGGCCATCGTCGTCCGTGGATCCTACTCCTTCGTGGCCGATGACGGCCAGACCTACACCGTCAACTACATCGCCGACGAGAACGGATTCCAGCCCGAGGGTGCTCATCTGCCCAATGTGCCCATTGGCAACTAAGGAGCGGATTCGCAAACCGAGAGCTGTTCTATGTATAATGGTTTTTAGTTGATTATTAAATAAACGCGGCAAGAAAATCGAACTACAGAGTAATTATTTGTTTCTTAGGCTTTACAAACATTGATCCTGCAAGACACTTTATATATTTCCCTTTTAACATTTTCAATGGTCAAAAAAAAAATAATTCTGCTAGCTACTTTGGGTATTCCAACAATTTCAATCTTTCTTGTCCAAAAAATGTAGATATTATTTCAAACAAGAAATTCACACAAAGGTTATTGGAAGATTTTTAATTGAATATAAAAGTATTTTCGAAATATTGAATTTTCTGTTCGTCTGCATTTTAGAACACGAAAATCTCCAAGTATTACATAAATATGTAAAAACCATCCTTTGATTTGTTACAATAGATTTCAAAACTTTATTAAAGAGGCTCTACTTAGTAGCAAAAATAAAATTGCCGTAAAGCCTAAGTTTTTCACATGTGTTCCATCCATTTTGCACGTTTCTGCAAAGCATGTTTATTTTTGGCCAACTTTAATAAAGATCACCGACCGACGCAGTAGCTAGCCCATTTCTTCTACCCCCAATGCACAAACCGCAGCCAAGCAAGTTTTTTGACAATAGTTAGGCAATCCTAATGCGGCAATCCAGTTTGACCGGAAACAATGCTGAAATAACGATGCGCTCATTGGCAACTCGGATCTACATAAATATTGGCAGTATTAATTTGCAAATTTGCCAAATTTTGTTACCGTTTTAGAGTGCCACCTTTGACTTTTGCATTCGCGCATTTGGCGTATAAAAGCGACGCCCAACTGCAGTGAAGGCATCAGAAAGTATCCAGCCTTCTATCCAGCTCCAACATGAAGTTCCTCGTCCTCGTCTTCGTCGCCCTCTTCGCCATGGCCGTGGCCCGCCCCAACGAAGCCAACATCGTTAGGCAAGATTCTGATGTCGGACCCGAAAAATGGAGCTCTAACCTGGAGACCAGCGATGGCACCAAAGTCGACTCCGAGGGAGTCCTGAAGAACGTTGGTACCGAGCACGAGGCCGCCGTCGTCCACGGATCCTTCTCCTGGGTGGATGAGAAGACCGGCGAGAAGTTCACTGTCACCTACGTGGCCGATGAGAACGGATACCAGCCCCAGGGCGCCCATCTGCCTGTGGCCCCTGTCGCTTAATTTGATCAACAAAAAATATGACGAAAACAATTCAAATAAATTCAGCTTAAAAAATATATATACAAACAAGTTTTTTAATTGTGAAAGAAATTATTGATTTTTTTTAGATCACTCTAAAAAATGTAGATCACTCGTCGGCTTCTGGATATTTTTTTTATTATTTTTTTTTTATACTTTTATCATAAAATATAAAAACTGTTTCTGTTTCAGTAATTAAATTAGTTGAAATAAAGGAAAACCTGGTACTCACCTGGTACAAACCTGGTATTACAATTTCCGACTATAAAGTATATATACTCTTACTAAAAACTTACCAACCTTAAATTATCGTAGGACAATGCTGGGTGTAGTTTTTCTACATAACCTCATCAATTATGATGCCAGCATTTACTAACAAGCTTGTCTTTCATTATTCCTAATAGAAAAACGAGAAACTTTAGTCCTCTATTCCATAGCCATTGTAGTGTTCAGTTATATGGCAGCTATAGGATATGCATAGTCGGCTGATCATTATCATTTTGCCAAAAATAGCATTCAAAAGAACTCAACGAAATACGAACTCTCTAACTCTAAAAACACCAAAGTTATAGCATTTCCGATCAATCAGATATGCCATCTATAGGATATAGTCAGTCGATCCCGTCCGTTCCGACATATATTCTGCGTGCAAAGGAAAGAACGGTTTGCGCAAAGTTTAAAGTCGATAGCTTTAAAACTGAGAGACTAGTTTGCGTAGAAACCGTCAGACGGACATGCTCATATCAACTCAGGAGGTGATCCTGATCAAGAATATATGTACTATATAGGGTCGGAGATGTCTCCTTCCCTGCGCTGCACACTTTTTATCAAAATTGTAATATCCCCGGCAAGGGTATAAAAAGTAGGTTAAAATGGCTTTAACTCCATTATTAAATACACATTAAAACACTACTCCACAAAACCAATCATAATGGCATAATGCCATTAAAATATTTTCGGAGGAAGAAAGTCTTTCCGGAGCCTGAGATGATGCCTTCGACAGGTTGTACCACGCCTATAATTTTTACCATTTTGTTAAAGGGAAATTCACAAAACTTTTACTTGTTAATCTTATCACACAAATTTATTTTAATTTTGTAAATAAATCTTAAAATCATATATTTATAATTATATTTCCAAATTACGTAATGAGTTTCTAAGAATACAAATTTTTGTATACAACTTTCAGCATAATATCTAACTGTTTTATAATAACGTATAAAGTTAATACAAATATAATTTTTATTCTTTTATCATTTATTAAGAAATTATTTTTACAACAAAAATATTAAACCCTGTGCAAGGGCATAAAAAAATGATAAGGATGATGGATAAATAGCTAAGAAAATTTCTTTCCTAAAAAATTATAGACTCGCAGACAGCTTTATTACAAAAAAATTAAAAAAAAAAACGTAACGATTTTTTAACTTTTAAAATAAATTTAATCAATAAGTCTGAACCAGTTAAAAAACATGCACCCCCATTTTTCCAACCAATAGGATTCGTTTATTATTTAAATGCACACGCGACTAACTGGTTTTTCTGCGATTTTGGCTTGGGTTGGCATTAGAGGTTAGTGTGCGGTTCCTAATGCGGATGCACTGGCAAACTTGATTTAGTCCGTCATTTCGATTCAGATTCAAATTCTGTTTGCTTGTTGGTGTTTTGATTTGCTTATCGAAGTGCAAGTTCGCTTTAGTTTCCAGTTTGACCGGAACAAGCCAAAATAAATCTGCCAGGGTATTGTCTGAGCATTAATATGCGTTTGCCAAATTTTGGCAAGCATAGTGAAATGTCACCTTTGACTTTATCTTATCACGATTGGTGTATAAAAGTCCCCGGCCAACTGCAGTGGAGCATCAGTTAGTTATCCACTATCTAAGCAACACCTCCCATCTCCAACATGAAGTTCCTCGTCCTCGTCTTCGTCGCCCTCTTCGCCATGGCTGTGGCCCGCCCCAACGAAGCAGGTGTCTTGAGGCAAGATTCCGTTGTCGAACCCGACAAGTGGAGCTCTGTCTTGGAGACCAGCGATGGCACTAAGATCGACCAGCAAGGAGTTCTGAAGGACGTCGGAACCGAGCACGAGGCCGCCGTTGTTCACGGATCCTACTCCTGGGTCGATGAGAAGACCGGCGAGAAGTTCACCGTTACCTACGTGGCCGATGAGAACGGATTCCAGCCCCAGGGTGCTCATTTGCCCGTGGCCCCAGTTGCCTAATTTAATAGATAAAAAAAAAACATGAACGAAATTAAATGAATCAAGCTTAAAATCAACTCAAACTTGCTTGCAAATTTATTTTTATAATTTTTTAGGTTACTTTTACGTTTAGATGGCAAATGTATTTTTTGCATTACTTATGCATCACATCTCCCGCTTGGAGTTATACGGCGGAATAAGATACTGAAAGGATTGTAAAGACTCAGATATTGAGTGTTAATCTGACTGTTTAGAAACAGTGGACTTAATAGTGGCTAATATACTTTGCCTATAATAACCTGAACGGTTCACAGTGATCAGGGACGGACGCAGAAATTTTGAAGGGGGTCTGATCGAAAAAAAAATTGTTGGGCTGGGGTTCCGAAAAATTTGGAATAATTTAACAGTTACAGTATATATCCGAAATACATATCAGATCTGATTTACACCGAAAATATCAATTTAAATGGCCTATGAGGATGCAGTGAGTTATTAAAAAAGTCACATTTTTTACAAGAGTCATGTAAGTGAAATACTTAAGAATAGGTTACAAAGCCAATCCAGAAGCCATCTAGGGATTTTAACGGCATTATGTTGCTATTATGTTGCTTTGAAATATTTCTAAAACCCTCAAAATCTTGATTATGATTATACTATAATATATCAACAAGTTTAGGAATGACTAAAAAATTATGCATTTCTCTCAATGGAAGTATAGGTAACAGTAGTTGTTTTTATGGAATCATGAAAAAAAGAATTGTAAAAAAAGTCCTCTGAATTTCCAGATAAATTCAGAACTTTAGGTGACGGTATGGAATTAGAGCCCCCAGAGGAAGTAGAGCTTTTGCTACCTCAAGATCAAACAATTTTTTTCTGAAAACAGTTTTGATGCTTTATTTTTGCACCAACTTGATTGTCAAAGTCTATCTGGTTTAAAATAAGCCTAAGTACGCCAATGTGTAGGATCATCATAATTAGGAGTGACAAAAGTACTTATTTACCTAAAACCTTACACAACAATAGAGGTGTTCAAATTAGATTAAGCCAAAGAGATTAAAGAAAATTTAGTCTAGTCTTTAGTTTAGATTAAAGTATTTCGACGTTCTGCCTTTTTTTGTAAATGACCATTGACAAAGCGCTAGTTCTAAGAGCTATTAATTTAAGTCTATTATCTGTCTAGTCTCATTCTAAACCTTCTATAAATTAATAAAAACAATTAACAGAGCAAAAACAATCATTAAAAGCCCTTGCATTTAAAATTGGAAATATTGTGAAAATCGGATAAATTAAGCCGATCCTTAAGAAAATAGCATTACAAAATAAATTTTTTATCCAGATAGATATGGGTATCCATATTTATGCCTTTATGTCTATAATCTGACCGAATATATCCTATGTCTGCCATATAACTATCGGGAATGACCCAACTCTGTTAATTTTCAAAATACAACTTTGGGTTTTTTTTAAACTTCGTAATCTTGGTTATAATTTTTTTTTTTTTTTTTTTTTAATTTTTGTATAAGAAATTATAAAGAAATTGGTTTTATAAAGAAATTATCTTACGGATAGGCCAACTATATCCCATATTTGCGATACATATCCAATCTTAACTGCAATGGTATATCAACATTGAATCCGTCCGAAGATAGGAAACCTATTCTTGTTGTTTTTTTTCAAAATTTATTTGATAATAGGTTAAAACATATTTCTCAACCACTGCGATTAAAAAAATGTATTTCTATTCCTGTAACCTTTATGAAAATTTTGTCTTGAGATCGTCATAAACAATGTTCAAACTATTTTGTAAAATATTTTATAAACCCTTGAATTTTGCAATCATATATAATGCTAGCAAAAATAATATTTTAGACTTAACTAGAAAAAAATTCTAGATTTTTGTCTGATTCGTTGGCATAAGATTTTATTCCATTTTCAATTGTATTATTGAACCAGCTGTTCAAAAACGCCCATCTCTGCTTTCTGCCTTCAATCGGATAAAAAATCAAAATTCAATGGGTTTTTTTTCATACTTTTTTAAATTTTCTTCTTAGTTATGCAGATTATTAAACTAGTTTTCAGATGTGAATTTGGCCTCTCAAAACTCAATGACGCGACTATAAATAAGTGACTTCACAGCCTAGATGGTATAGTAATCATTGACAGCTTCAACGATCTACACGCCTTCAACATGAAATTCGCCATCGTCCTGTTCGCCCTCTTCGCCGTGGCCATTGCCGCTCCTACTGAAACTCAAGTCCTAAGGTCCGAGTCTGATGTCGGACCCGAGAGCTACAAATACGCATTGGAGACTTCCGATGGTACCTCAAAACAGGAGCAGGGTCAGCTGAAGAACGTCGGTACCGAGCAGGAGGCCATTGCCGTCAAGGGATCCTTCACCTTCGTGGGCGATGACGGTCAGACTTACACCGTGAACTACATCGCCGATGAGAACGGATTCCAGCCCCAGGGTGCCCATCTGCCCGTTGCCCCCGAGGCCTAAATTATTAGATTATCAATAAATTGTTTATAAAAAAAATTCTTTATTCTTTTCTCTTAAAAATGGAATGGTTTGTGATTAATACCCAATAATCTCGACCGCAACATAACTTATATGATAAAAGATACACAACTTCGACTGGGGGAAAGACAAAAATATACCAGAAAGAAAAGCTAGCTTGGAAGACCAGCAGCTTACCATATATACCGTTCAGGTTTCTATTTCAAGATGTATCTTGCAAATATCGGATGTCAGATGGCTGTTTCTTATTGCAGTATTAAATCGGAGTATTTTCGTGTTTTATGGTATTTAAAAGCATATGCATAATACTATTTGATTTGAAAGGTTATTAAATATAATAATAAAGCCAAAGTTCATGTTCTCCAGTTTCTATAGTTAAATATATGTATTACCGATATTAGAAATGTCGGATAAATTACAAGAAAAAAGGACTTGTATTATATTGTATTGTTAAAAATATGAGTAAAATTATATTATAAGTGAATATATTAAATATGTATAATATTGGACTATCCGCAGAAGCGCCCATGATATGGGTGCGCGTAGTGATGCGATACAGTAGGCCACTACTTGCAGATTTAAATTAAATTATGGTAAAAAGTGTACAACGCAGTGAAGGGGATATTTCCGATCTTATCAATTATATATATTCTTGATTAAAATCACCTTCATTATCGATATAAGATTCAGTGTTTTTTCAGATATTTTCCTTTTTTTTGGTATCTGTCTAAAAAGGATGGGTAAGTCGACTATGTGTTTTTTTCATAACCTTGTAATCCCCTAAGGTTCTCCTAAAGAACATCTACAACAAAAAAATAAATAGCACGACTAGTACTTTGGTAGTCCCACGACTTTCGATTGATAAGCGAAAAAGCATATGATATTTTTTTTATAAACAATTTATTGATAATCTAAAAACTTAGGCCTCGGGGGCAACGGGCAGATGGGCACCCTGGGGCTGGAATCCGTTCTCATCGGCGATGTAGTTCACAGTGTAAGTCTGACCGTCATCGGCCACGAAGGAGAAGGATCCCTTGACGGCGATGCCCTCCTGCTCGGTGCCGGCGTTCTTCAGCTGACCCTCCTCCTGTTTTGAGGTACCATCGGAAGTCTTCAATCCGTAACTGTAGCTCTCGGGTCCGACATCAGACTTCAACTCGACGATTTCAGCTTCTGGAGCAACAGGAGCGGCAACGGCCACGGCAAAGAGGGCGAACAGGACGATGGCGAATTTCATGTTGAAGGCGTGTAGATCGTTGAAGCTGTCAATGATTACTATACCATCTAGGCCGGTCTTTGGACTATTTATAGTCCGAAATGAACCAGATAGATTTTTGGACAAAGCGCGTCACAGAAGCTAAAACTAGTTTAATAAGCGGCAAAGCGAAGATAAAACCTGAATCGAACACTAATTTCAGCTAATAAATATTTACATATATGAAAATTCACGAGATGGATAACAATGTTTAAACGGCTTTGAATATGGTACTCTTCTAAAGTTACCCAGGAAAAGTGTTTCATTTTTTTTTTAATTTCCTGAGAATTACGATGCACTCTAATTGTATTTTAAAGATTTTTCTTCTGCTACATTATTTTTTTTTAGCTCCGTACTGTTGAATCCAAGAAAGATTTAATTAACACTAAAGACAGGCTTTCAAGTGTTAATTGTATTAGCTGACCTAAAACCCTGTTGCAATCGTATAAAAGGCTTTTCCATTTCAGTTTCAAGGCAGTGACGAAGTCCAAGAATCGTTCTAAAGATGAAGTGCATCGTAGTTTTTGGCCTGCTATCGATCGGCATGTGCCTGGCCGCTCCAACTGCTCCCGAAGCCGAGATTGTTAACCTGGCATCCGAGGTCTCCGCTGACGGCTTCAACTATAACTTCGACACCAGTGACGGCACCAAGCAGGAACAGCACGGCAAGCTGAAGAACCTGGGTCCCGAGGAGGAAGTTCTGCAGGTGGCCGGATCCTTTAGCTACCAGGGGGATGATGGCAAGACCTACTCTATAACATACACGGCGGATGAGAATGGATACCAGCCCCAGGGCGAGCACCTTCCACACCTTTAAATGGGTATTACTTTAAGCCGCATGGTTTAAATAGATCGGAGCGGTTTTCAAACGTTGAAATAAAATTTATAAATAAAAACCCAATTTTTTTGAGAATCGAAAGTTCGGCTTTAATGCGAGTAACAAAGGAATAAAGAAAACAATGCACGACACTGACTTGACTGACTGATCGACTTACTAACTGACTGACCGACTTGAGAACTCGAGACAGCACTTTAGCACCTCACTCTATATGGCCGGGATGGTTTGGTGGTTGGGCGTATTTACAGGATCATCCCCAAGTCGGGCACAGCCTACTTGGGCAGATGGGCACCCTCCGGTTGGAAGCCGTTCTCGTCAGCCACGAAATTGATGGTGTAGGTCTGGCCGTCGGGAGCCACCCAACTGACGGATCCCCGGATGGATATGGACTCATTCTCCTGGCCGGCATTCTTGATCACGCCCTCCTCTGTGCGGGTGGTGCCGTCGCTTAGCTTGTAGCTGAACTTGTATCCATCGAGGTCAACATTGGACTCGTACTCCTGGACCTCCACTTCGTTCTGCGGACGGGCAGTGGCCAGCGCCAGGAGCACTGCCAGCGAGCCAACGACTAGCATCTGGAAAGCGAAGAGAAGGTATCCTTTGTAGTTATCCTGGCTTATCCAAGGGCTTGCACTTTACCAATTTCATCATTTTGTATGGTTCTCGGATTGCTGGGTTCCCTGTGCGGCTAATGAAACTGGCGGTTGTCTAATGGTGGAACTGCATCGGAGACCACTGCATTTTATACTGCACTCGCCGCCGCCGCCGCCGCATTTGCAAACGTCATAAATTTGCACAATTGTAGAAGAAGAAGCCGGAGTCAAGCAGCAGAAGCTGCAGCAGCACCACCGGCTAAATGTTTTTCTCTATTTCCATTTTTTTTGCCACGTTTTTTTGCAATTGGCCAGAGATGCACCAAAGTTGCCAAAGTCGCTGCGACAAGTAACATTTAAAGCGCCTTTGCGCATCGGCGTGCTCATCCAAAAGGTATTAATGCTCCCACACTCGAAGAATTTGTAAACTTAGTTCTATGTCAACAAGCCATTGGTTTTTGGGCCTAATAAATATTTAATAAAACGCTCTTAGTGGTTATAAAAATCTTAGATTTAATAAAGTACTTGCATTAATTATTGGCAAAAAAGGATACTATTTTTTTATGAAGCACAAGTAAATAAATATCAAATCTTCAGAGGGTACCCCTTTTTAAAGAGTAGGATTATGACTTTATAGTTTAATTTTCTACTAAGTAGGTCAAATTTGTACTACTTTGGCAATTTGTTTCTCCAAGTGCCGCCTTGCAGGCTCAGAAATCGCGAAAAAGTTCAAGATGATGTATTGGGGAAAAGGTTGCTGCTGAATGGATTTCTTGTTGCAACCGGGGAATACCCAACCGAGAACTATGGCAAACCAGAACCAGATCGGCGTCGAAAGATTGAAATCAAAATGGGAATAAACCTCGGCCCGCGGCAACCAGCAATATGCCACCGAACTGTAAGTTCAAGTGCTGTCAACGGCAATTTGCAGGGCAGCAAGTTCAAGCCGCAGACACGAGGCTTAGCCGGAGCCATGTGTGATGGCCAAAGTGCACAGATCCGAGTGTATTGGAGACGAAGATGGTTGACTTTTGGCATATGCAACGGCCTTTACAGCACCCGATTGATGTTGATGTGCCTGCCCGGTAACAAGCAAACCAAACCAAAACCAAAGCCAAAACCAAGACCAAAACCAAAAGCAGTGAACAGTGAGCAGCTGGAAATAAAAAACACATCGAATAACCTACAACTGCGGCGGCTCGCATGCAATTTAAATCTCAGGCTTTTGTTGTTTTTCTCAGACCCAGACTGAGTCTTCGTTTCTGTGGCTGTTTGCCAATTTATTCCACCTTCGATGACCGCTACAAGCCGAAGAAGATGTCTCAGTCTCAGTCTTAGTCGAAGGCGTTGATCCGACAATCCGGTCAGTCGGGTTTTGGCTTTGGTCATCTGTCGGCCTCTGTACCACAGGCCGCGACTCCACCTTTATCCATCCATTAGATTGACCCACGGCAACTTGAATTGTGCCATCATCTTTAAGTCACTTCTATCTTGAGGGCATTCTTGACACATTGGTTGTGGTATTTCCTCAAAAGATTCTATGGCCAAAAATACATTGCCAGCTACAAATTTGAAATTTTTTTTAAAATTTACAATCGGTCTTGTAAGCCTTTAACTTGGCTTAGTTTATTTCTAAAGCTTTAATGGCTTTAAATCCTTTAAAATATCCAAAACATAAAACGATGTTCCTAATTAAACAAAGAAAGTTGTAACAAAAAGTTATATTGTTCCCATCCTGATATTTGTAACAGTCCGTCCATGTTAAAAAACTAAATATTTCAACTTAATAAGGTTCAAGAAATTTCTGGAAAAAAATCATTTCTTATAATCGGCTTTAAAATAAATTTATCTTGAGCAAATAATTTACTCCCATAACGATTCAATAAATTAAAGACTTAATTAATTAGGCCGCCTACAAATTGAACTTGAGCTGAGGGCACTTGGAGCCCTTGAAAATGGATCTGAGATCTGATTCCATTCAACTCGTGACTGCATAATATCTACAAGTATTGTTGTTTTGGGTCTTTTCCGTGGCTTTTCGAGGGCATCTGCAGCCAGCTGCATTTATCATGCTGGATTTGCATAAATAATCTGGCTTTGATCGATCGTCCTGGGTGCTAATCGGAATTTTCATTTATCTCTTGCAGCGGGGGCGTTGTCATTCACACATTTATCAGAAGGGGATCCATGAGGCTGGTGTTCCTCTTCCTTATCGAGCCAAGCCAATATAGTCATTTACATAACTGTTCTAATCAAGCGCCAATCGACAGGTTTTTCGACTTTGATGGCTTCTAGTTCGGACAGTGCTGTCGCTTTCAATACAAAAATACAAATCTACAAGCTACCAGATACCTGATGCCAGACAGACAGACAGCGCCGTAGCCGTAGCAGATGTACAATAGACATTTATGTAGATGCGTCTTCACATTTACGTCTTCAAGGTCACCGCCAGATGCTGCTGCTGTTGTTTGGTGGCTCGTCCATCTGTCCGGCAGCTTGTCCGGCGTTTTTCCCGTCTGACCGCTGTCGATTCGGCCGGCTTTTGTTCGTTGCCAACTCGCACGCACCACACCAATCTTGGCCAGACCGGCTCCGAATCGGTTTCTGGGACTCGTGCTCGGGTTCGGTAAGGTTTTCGGTTTTTTTTGCCCACCTCGTCTCCTCCATTGGGTCTGCAAAATTAGCACTTGAACGTTAATGGCAGTGTTTTAATAGCTTATACCCACCACCCTCCCTTCGCAGCCGCATCTTTAAATATGTAAATGTCACATTGCTGTTGTTTTTTCATTTCTTTTTTAACGCGTTGACCGCAGGTTTCGTAATATTTGCATTCAGACGCCGCAAAAAAACAAACTAAAACAAAACGCTTTCAGAAATACTTCTGCTTCTACTGACACTTGACATTAAGAATCGTGCGTATAATTTAATTTTATAGCAATCTTTGGCGATGTTTTTGTCAGTTTTTTAATGGCCTGAATGCAACGCGTTTTGAAAAAATGATGACGGAACGATTGATTACCCTGACTGGCTATTAAGTGTGTCTCTGTTTATTGGTGGTTTGTAAAAATAACCCGAATGATTTTAACGAAATACCTTGCCAACTTTTTTATTTAAAAATAAAATAACAAGCTATTTTATTTTTAAGAATATAAAATAAGGGGGATCTCTGGGAAAGTACCAGAACTCTCATTGATCGTATTATTAGCTTGACATTTTCTTGGACAAAACAAGTTTGTTGTGCCGGCATACAAATCAAATGACTTAAGCAAGAAACTTGAGTTGATTTTTATTTTTCTTACTTTGGCATCTTCACATACTTTTAGGCAACTGGATAAAATGTGTTTTTTTCTGTATCCAAAAAGGTCACTGCCGTCCCAAGAAGGGGTTTTTATTAATTTCGCTAAAAATAAACTTCTATAGGTCTTCTAGTCGTTTCTAACCGTACTCTATCCGTTTAAGTTTTGTTTAAGTAGACCGATTAAACGGACAACTAAAAATTTGAACGTAGTTTTCTTGAAACTATTTTTTATGTCACGGTTGACACTATATCTTAAGTTCCTACAAACCAAAGTTCTCAAAATTTCGGAAAATTCAATTTAAAATTGAAAATGTACAATGTCAAAAAATTAAAAGCGATTTTTGTTTGTTTATGGCCTCTACTTCATGGCAAAACAAAATTTCTTTTTGGATTTTTTGCTTCACCTTTGTTTCATTTTTCAGAAGACCACATCATGTTATCTATTCTTCGAGTTTAGTCGAGTCGCTAAACTAGGAAACTACTTTTTTTCTTTCCCTCTGTCTTGGGAACTTTCTATGAAAAATTAATTTTTATTTTTAAACCTATTTTGTTCTAAAATATAAATAAACAAATTAAAATTAAATTGGGAGTAGAAATATCAAACGATTATTTTAAATGGATTATTTAAAAACTCTCAAAATTTTTTTCTCCCCTTTATTATTTTAAAAGGTTGTCTGTACACTTATTTGCAAAGTAGATCCTAAAGTTGATCCTAGATTCCATTTATGTCGGAAATATACTGACAAACAAACTATTTCAATAAACTACACTGTAAATATTTAAAGCTTTCAATAATTTAAATAAACTTTTGTAAATTGGCAATAAATCTGTTGCCAAAAAAGTTTAAAAAAATTCGCTTTGATTGAAATTTTATTGGGTTACCTAACCAAAGTTTTTGATCGAATCCATCTTTACGACTTGGACAGAATAAATAAATCTGTTTTATCCATTGATATTTCGTCTTCCACTCCCCAGTGGAGTTATAACATCTTGCTATGGCTCGACACATTTGCCCATCATTTTCTTAATCACCACGACTTTATGCAAGTTGTTCGCATATTGTCATCCCTTGCACAACAAACAAGTTTTCAAGCTGGGCGATTTAGTTTGATTCGATTGTTTTTATTGCTTGCAAATTTAACAGCTGAACTTAAACACTAGCCTAAAACAGTTGGCACACTGTTGTAATAAATTCGTGATGTATGGTTAATAGGAAAGCCTCTTCTTTCAAAGGTACTGGCTAACCGGCCAGAGAGGAGAGGGACTTGCCGGACAGCTTGCGCACCTTCAGGCCCTGTTCGCGGGAGGGACGGTGGTTCTTGGCGAGGTTGTTGGCATTCTCTAGATCGGCAGCTGCAGAGGTTCCGCTTAGAACTTTGCCAATTTCGTCCCGGAAGGTTCCATCAGGCAGTGTATAGCTGGGGGTAAAAAGCAATTAGTAATTTTATTACTATTCAACTTATAGATTTTATCAAAATATCACCATTGAAAAGTATTATTTCTTGTTCACAAAAAAATAAAAACATCTAACGTTGCTAAATGTATCTTACTGTGTAACTTTCTCACATTTAAAGAGTCTTAATAATTACTTGACTTACTTGAATTCGTATCCATCCCGAGTAGGCACATAGCTGAACTGCTCCAGATCCACTTCGCCCAGCTTGATGTCGATGACCGTGCCAGGTGGAAAGGAGGCGTAGTTCAAGTTGGCGCCGAACAGGACAAAGGCCGCCAGGAGGATCAGACAGTGGACCATTTTGCTGTTAAGATTCAGGCCCCTGCCTGTCCCTTTTTTGCTTCGGCTGAGGGCGACACTTCCCATTGGAGTCGGACTCATTATGGACGATCGTTAGTGGGAGTACGCGGCTTGGAATGAAAACACAACTGGCAACCAAGGCGGCTGGGAACTTAATGAAGCGTCTTCTTCGAGGCCACTGGCATAAGACACCTGTGGGCCCATAATGAGTTGTTGGTCCAAAACAAAACGGGCACCACAAACTGCTGAGTAAGCTTCAGATGAACAGCCGGGTTGCCCAATCCGCTGGCGTGGAGTTTGATTTGCATAACGAAAGCAAAAGATTTCCATGGATCGAGCAGCATGCGACTCTCAAATATGTGCATTACATTTTAAATGCCATCAAATTGGAAAACTAATCGACCAAACCCATAGAAAGAAAGCTGGCGAGGTTAAGCAGCGACTAACGTATGCCCTCTAATAGAAAAATACATCGTTTGCAATTTCATTTGTAATTGAATTCAAACTTTTTTCATTTAATCAGTCACGGTAATAATTTAAATTTTTTATCAAAAAAACTAAACTTTATTTACAGTAACTAAGCTGCATTAGTTTCTAGAGAATAAATTGAAATTGAGTTCAAAAGCGCCTTCTACAGCTTAAATGCGTATGTTTCCAAACTACTGCAGTCCAATGCAGAAATAAAATCCATTCCAAAAGTATGAAACCTTATAGAAATTTTATAAACATTCCTTTTTGAAATTCAATAAAAGTATCACGCCCATAGAGACAAAAAAGGTACCGTATTTTCACTCACTTATAAATTTTAAAACACACCTTAAAGTTAAAATACCCTTTCTCAGACCTAGTGAAACAGTAACTCATTTTTATGCAGTTGATGTTGAAATCGGCGTATCTCGAAATGATTAACGATTAACGAGCCGATCCGAGTTTATCTAAGCTTTTTCCAGCGAAGACAATCACCACAAAACAAAATGGAGCTTTCGAGCCACGCTTAATACACTGATAAATTATGCGGATTTTTAATCATCTATCACAAAACAAAGAAAATACATAAATGTGGATTTTTTTAGCTCTTATCCGGTTTGATTTTGTGGGCCGTCACATAGGGCTGGAATCCGTTTTTGTTGGCCTTGTAGAGGACCTGATACTCATAGCCATCCGCGGAGATAAAACTGTAGCCCCCTCGGTATTCCACAGGTTTTGGAGTAGTCGTTGCCTTGGGGTCCGTATCTGTTTCAGGCCTCACTGTGTATTTGATGTCCTCTGTTCTTTGATGGCCATTTTCCGTTTGAAATCTGGGAGAGAACTAACTATGAGATACATTTTTAGATTTGAACTTCAGTAACCTTACCCGAAATGTAGAGCTTCTTCCCTCTCGCCTTTCTCCAGAGTGGCTGTCGACGCTAGTGAGATCACGGCCACCAATAAGAATATTTTGCCAAACTGTGCTCATGAAATAAATACATTTTCTGGAGATACACAAATGTAATTTTTGTTCTATACTTACCATGTCTATTGTATTTTTGATTTCGATTCAAATCTTGAAACAATATTTAAGTAGAACCCAGAACTAAAGAGCTTAGGTGTTGACGGTTTCAATGGCTGATTTCAACTGAAGGTGGCTGGGAGATGAGCCAAGCAGCCAAAATAAGTCCAAGAGATCGGAATAATGAAAACAAATATCTGCGCAGCCAGCTATTTAACAGTGAGTCTTAGCCACAATGGGGTTACGTCATTGTTTTCTGGCTCGACTTTTGTTCTAAGTGGGCAAAGAAGCATAAAAGAAAGGCGATTAAAATAATAATTAAGCCATAATAACGCAATGAAAACGATTTTGAAATACCCTAAAATTAATAGTTATTGGAAAAACTTTAAAATCTGTTCCCTAAAACATAAAAATCAAACATCTTCAGGAGACACATTAATCTTGATTCGTAACTCAAATAACCAATTCCTAAATCAAACAATGCTATATATTTCAGTGACCTGTTTAAAATAAAAAAAATGTATGTAATGTTTATTTATAGGTGTTGCTTAAGCTAACACATTTTAAATGAAATTGAATATGCACCTAACCTTCACATTGGCTAATCGAATGCTTTCTACTTATTAGCTTTGATTATTTATATATTTCCGATACAAACATCTTAGTACCACCTATAGATTTAGTTGTGTAAATGGCCGAAAGTTTATTTTTTTAGTCAATAACTAATGCTCTTTTTTTTATGCTCTGTGTCGTGTTATTTTAATATTTCTGCCGGAAAACATTTAATACCGCCGACAGTTGGGCATATTCCCGCGTAATATTTTATATTCAAGCTGTCAGCGAGGGCCAGCGGCCAATTTATCAACGGACCTCATCTAAAAATATTTATTTAAGCGAGCCCGAGAACTTAATCGGCCAACCCTCGCAAAACGGCGAAAAAATCGCAATCAGATCGCCACGCTCTGTCAGAATTCGCTTTCGAGACGCACATCGGCGAATGCGGGCGTGGAATATGTGCCATCGGTGCGTGGCTAACCGAAACCCGAAAACCGGGAATCAAGGACCAAAGACCGGGGACCGACAATTGTTGGTTTATGCAGCCGGTGCAGCAGCCGGATCTTTCTGGTCCGCCCGGGTGGTTGCTTGGTGGCTAAGGTCCGCGAAATATTCCATATCGCTCGGAATCCACAGCTGACGGTACGAACAGGTTCACAAAATCCACACTCCAGGCACTCCCGTAGCCTGGGAGGACGTCAGCTGCGCGCCAGCACATTACAAGTAGGACAAGCTGCAAACGACATTGCCATTAGCCATCGTCCTTTTTCGACCTAGGGGAGGGTTCGATATTAGCGGCATCCTCGACAGGCACAAGCCGAGCTACCAAATGATAAACACACACAACAGCAGCCGCAACAGCTTCCATACAGTGGGTAAAAATGCTACAAAAATTAATAAACACATTAAAAATGTATTTACTATTTAATTAGTTATAAAAATACAATAAAAATAAAACCCGTAAATAAAAAGAACGAAATCTAAGTTCTTTTATTTTAATTCTCGAATTAAGTTTTAAAAAACATGTCTAGCTTCTTAAAATGAAATAAAAAATTAAATATGTATGTATAAAAAGCTAACAAACTTTAAAAAAAATAAAAAAAAATATAAAACTTAAATTATTAATTCTATGGGAATTTGGGTAAATAAAAATAGAACAAACAGTAATAATATAAAACAAAAATGGAAATATAATTATATTTATTTGAAATATTTAACAATTCATTTAATAAAATATTCGAGGACACCCTGGTTTTTTCTGTCCTACGCCCAGAGTACCGAGACTGGCAAAAAGTTAATAGACGATTGACTAAAGCCGACATCCCTGCTGTTGTTTCGGTGGTCCTGCGTCCTGAATCCAGGACTTAGCACCCCCTTGACAACAGGCAAAGTGCATTAGCCCACCAAGGATCGGGCGGGGTTGGCCTGTCTCGGACTGGATGGGGTTGCGTTGGTCATGCAGGTGTTGCCCGATCCTGCTGAAAATTTATTTTGAATTAAAAGTTTCTGCTTGTGGCCGGGCGGGTTTTGTTGTTTTTAGCGATTAGCTGAATCGGTTAGGGCTCAAACAGGGATTGGGGTGAAGGTATCAAAGTTGGGTATCGAGATTGCACACTCAATTTATTAGCGCTTTGTCAGATGTTGAAGTAATCTGACGGCTGCGTGGACTTGAATTGGCCCAGTTCTGGCTTTAACTTCGATTACTCTTCGTTTTCCATTACCATCGGAAGCTAGGCTACGTGACTGACTCATAGGGTCAAGAGTTCGTGGTCAGAAGCGTCTACCCGTGTCTGTGGCTTAAGTTGCCGTATATAAGCCCCACCATGTCTGGACCAGCAGCCACATTTTGAACTGAAAATGAAACCGATCATCTTGCTGGCTCTCGTTTGTGTTACTTCTTGTGTTTGGGCTCGACCGGATGGCTATCCCAGTGCTCGTCCTCCGGCCACTTATCTGCCCGCGAAGCCACCAGCCGCCCCTCCGCCAAAGAGTGGCTACGGCCCACCTCCGAAAAACGGTAATGGTAAGCCACCACCTGCTCCACCCAGGCCCAGCTATGGTCCACCTAAAAACGGTAATGGTAAGCCACCACCTGCCCCACCCAAACCCAGCTACGGTCCACCACCCAAAAATGGCAACGGAAAGCCTCCACCCAGCAATGGTTACATACCACCTGGAAATGGAGATTCTGGGTCGTCTGGAAATGGAGGGGGTGGTCCGGAGGGAGGAGGAGAAGTCATTCCAATCATTAAGCTAGAGTCCCAGGTCAACACTGATGGATCCTACAAGGTGAGTGTGAGGAAACCCCGAAAACAAAGTAACTGATCCATTATTTTAGTATGAATATGAAACTGGAAACGGAATAAAAGCCGAGGAGATGGGCTATCTAAAAAATGCCGGGGTGGAGGGTGCTGAGGCCCAGACTGCCGAGGGATCCTTCTCCTACACCAGTCCCGAGGGAGAGGAAATCTCACTGACCTACATTGCGGACGAGAACGGATTCCAGCCCCAAGGTGACCACCTGCCGACACCACCGCCCATACCCATCGAGATTCAGGAGGCCCTTGACAAGCTGGCGGCAGGAGGTGGATGTCATGGATGCGATGACAACGAAGTGGGTGGGCAGGACAATGGCGGGGGCAGTGGTTATTCATACAAGAGAAAGTAAACGGGTTGACAAGTACAAATGAAATAAATGCTTTATAACGGATGAGTAATAGTTTATTTCATCAATGGATTCGTTTCTATGAATGTCATGCTTTTGGATATATCCTTTCAATTTTATCTCCGTTAGCTATTTAACATTCTAGAGTTGAAGCCCCTCAGCGGGCTACTTATCTAATACAAGCAACCACCAAGTCGGTATTGATCATACCCTGGTACACCTTGCTCCAGGCCTGGTGTTGCGTGCCCAGCATTCACCCTTCCTCCTGCGCCGGGTTAGACCCAACCCTTGAGCCGGAGCGGCGGTTGTGTGACTGGCAACACATGTTTCTCCCAACTTGCCAAACGCTCGTTCAACCTTATCCTGTTGATCGCTTGACGAAGACCGGGGGACGGGCGAGGGTTGGCATGCGGCAGCGATTCTGTCGCAATAATGAAAACATTAGCCTCGTAGCATATTTGCTAGCCAACAGGAGCGGAGTAGCTGCAGTTGAGGGTATACTAAGAACTGAATGGACTTTTGAAAAAAAATATGTTTAGTACATAAAATGTGTTGGGATAAAAAACAATACTATAAATGGTTATATACATACATGTACAATATAAAAATTTTGTAGTTTTCCAGTAGCAATGTCCAAAAAAAAATGTATTTAATTTTAAATAATAATAATTCATTTTAAATATTTAATAAATTATTTCGAGAAATACAATAAGATAAAAATCAAATTTCGAAAGCTCTCTCATCTTGAAGCTCTCTAAAACAAATGCCCACAAATCTTTATTTTAAATCTTAATTTTAAATATTGTGAAGTTTATAAAATATTTCGCCTTCCCTCATTCCGCCCTTTTGGTCTTGCCAGCAACCGCCGAGCTCAAAAATCACGACCCACCCCAAACCGCAAATCGTGAAACGATACAGGCCAATATATTAAGGCATTAGCGTCGGCAGGGGTACCTTCCTATGAGGGGCAGGGGGTGGAAGTGGCAGGATGACATTGAGGATAGCGAATGCGATTTGTATACGGTGGAATTACAACAACAGCAACAGAAACAGCAACAAACGATCGTTTAATTTCAATTAAAAACATTTTCCTTGTGCGCAGCCCAAAAGCCAAATATAAAAGGATGAATTGCAGGGGAGGGGGAGCGGGAGCGGAGAGGGAAACGGGAGGTAAAGGACTCTTGGAATACGCACACTTGCTACAGGCCGCTTAGCTTGGCTTAGTGCTCTGGTGATTGCGAGGACATGATGTTGCACTTGCCGAGCAACCACCAGGACGCACCAGGACCTCGAAAAGGGATGTCGGCTAGTGGACGGGGGTTGGATGGATGCTCGCTGCCGAGATGTTCTAAGCCAGTAAAGTGCGTAGCTATGTTGTAGGCAGGCCGATTCCGGCCGGTGCCGGCCGCTTCCTGGGCTGGGAATTCTTGCACTTGCTGCAAGGCCGTGGCAAATCCGGACAAAATAAGGGAGCGCCGGATGCGGAAGCGCGGTATAAAACGAAGGTCCTCTTCCAATTGGAACACAGAATCAAATTCGAACTCACACGATGCACACGACGGCTCAGTTGGACAGTCTGGAGCAGAAGCGCTCGGCTAGCCTGATCTTCCGGATCGAACAGTTGCTGCCCAGCAGTACCACGGCCACCACATCCACTACCGAAGCTTCGCTGGCGACTTCCACTACCAGTTCAGTAGCCAGTCCGGCCAAAAAGATTAGAAGCAATCCCCGCCCTGGAGTCTACACCTCACAGTACACCCCCAAGGACATCTGCTCCATTGCTGTGCCCACAGCCGCCTTACTTAGCGCCCCGGCTGCGCCCGCCGATTCAGGACGCACCCACTGCCAGATGTCCAACGGAGAACTGATCGTATCGGCCTCCCTCCTGCGGCAGATCAAGCTCTCAGAGGATGTGTATAGCTTTAATGCCATCTTCGAACTGCACGGCGGGCAGGTGAGGGTGCGGCTGGTGCGAGACGTGGCACGAGATGATGAGATCGTGGCCTGGTTTGGAGAGGAGCTGGTGCTCTTGATGGGCATACCCTTCCTAACGCCCCTTAACATTCAAGGTATGTTTAGAAGCTCTTCAGATCTTTATGTGGACTATCAACTAACGTCTTTTTTGACTATTCTACAGGAAACAACCGATACACATGTCATCTGTGCCACCTAACCTTCGAGACCCCGCATCCGCTGAAGATCCACTTGGCCCTCGGATGTGGGCGCAGTGCCATGGATATTCTGTGGATGAGACTACACTATGCCCTGAAAGCGGCGGCAAGGAGTCAGACGACGGTAAACCAACTGTCGCCCACACCGGCAACTTCCTCCACCTCTTCGGCATCTCCCACCCACTCACCGCCACCCCCAATGGCCGCACGCTTCTCCGCCTTTCGTCCCATATCAGCCATTACCTCGAATCTTCCTCTGAGCACGGTCACCACCACAGCTGGATCAACTCTCTCCTACCTGCCCTCCATCTCGATGGCTACTGCACCATTGGCCTCGCATCCCATGAATGCGGCCGCCCAGATCGAGGCCATAGTCAGCAACATGGGCGCCTCCAAACAGGGACATCTGTGCATCTACTGTGGAAAGGTTTACTCTCGAAAATACGGCCTCAAGATCCACATTCGAACCCACACCGGTTTCAAGCCTCTGAAATGCAAATTCTGCCTCCGCCCTTTCGGAGACCCGAGTAATCTCAACAAGCACGTTCGGTTGCATCTGCAGACCCAACCCGGAAGTTCGTCTTCTGGGGGTGGGGCCTCCTCCCCGGTTGGTGGTGCCGGGAGCGATGTGGACATCGAGGGAGAGTCGGATGCTGGACACCAGTGCCATATATGTCACAAATCTCTGCCACGCCGACGAGATCTGCTCCGGCACATGGAAAGTCGACACGGTGGATCGCGTCACGCACATCCAAGCACCACCAGCACCACCACCCAGGCCATCGACACAATAACCGGATCGAGACCCACCGCATCCACATCCAAGTCGAGCTGAGAGCTGAGCAGGATTAAAGTTTATGTAGCGCACTTATTGGGGCACAGCTGTGATAGAAAAATAAACTGCAAAAAATATTTACAAACAAATATTAAGCACAGAAGAAGAAACATAGTTTTGTATACAAATAGATAAAATATCTTTTTTAAATTAAAAAAAAAATAAAACAATAATATAAATGCAAAAATTGGAAATGCGTTTGATTAAGAATCAAATAGTATCGCTTTATTGATAAATTTCAATACGAATTCAAAGTGAATTTCTATCGTATAATGCACAAATCTTATTGTTAGACAATTAATGCTATTACTCGTACAATTTCGCTTTCGCCTTCGCCTCCGTTTCCGCGCTGGGCGGCCTTATCCATATTCGTGTATACTCGCTTAAATGTAGGGTACATGCAAAACAATCACAAATTGTCTTTAACGGGGTAAAGCGGGGTTAACTTTTGTGTGTTGTTTTTTTTTAAATATTTTTTTTATTTTTAGTTTTGTGTGTGTGTGTGCGTTGAGCAAAACGTAGACGGGCCAAAAACACTCACAATTACAAGGTCTAATTCATAGCTAAATCGTACAAGTACTTATATGCCAGTGTAGAAATGCGACGGTAAAGGTATTCATTAAATACGTATATATGTACTTAGAGTAGTATATAGATCGGAGCATAAAGTTAACTATTTTGTCTGTTTGATTTCTGGAACTACGTTTAGTTGGTTTGCTCGGGGCTAACACTTAGTTAAAGTTTGAACAAAGGTCATATCTTTCAATCTTATTCTCCCTAAACAAATGCACCGAAAACAATTGATTAATTTTTTAATAATTTCCTCTCCCGTAATTCTCCAAACCTCTCCATCTTGTCTTCTCTTTCTCTGTTAAGGCACTTACTCAAGAAGTCGCGTTCCAGAGTGTCCCTTAGGGTTAGTAAAGTATTCAAAGTATCCTTTGGTTTTTTGAACTGAAAAACAATGTGGCAAGCAAAGCGGCGAGTATGTGTAAGTGTATTCGTGTGTGCCATAGAGTGGACCTTGCTAAATTGTAAAGTTGCAACATTTGTGTTATAATTGAAAAGTTATTGAGTACAAACAAAAAATTTTGGAAATATCTTCTTAATAAGGGTTAAACAAATTTATTTTTACAACAATTTGGCAGAGTTTTCTCAATTGAAACAGAAAAAGATCCTTCTCTTTAAAAATTAGTTTAATAATCAGACAAAATCACTCATACGCCACGTGTGCCAGCTTATGAGTATTTTTTTCATTGAAATATTGCATCTGAATGTATCTGTTCAACTATTTAACCTAAACAATTTTTTCGTAAAGTTTGCAAACCAATGATGTCCACTCTAACCTGCAGCTATCACCTGGAGTCCTAACGTATTTTATTCTGAATAGCTTTGACAAATATGTCAGTTTTGGATATTTGACGATACGTTTTGCAATTCCCAAAAGTCTGTACTCGGCTTACATATACAAAGGTAATATATATATATATATAGTTCGTTATTATATATGTATATGCATAGACACCAATAGTTTTTGTTATTTTTAATCGTTAAGAGTAATATGCAAGTTCTGTATGTGGCTTTTCTTTCGCTTGGTTTTGTTAGGAATATGTTTACGCGTACTGTTGATGTAAATATCTAAACATAAATTCATACATGAAGCACACTTGGGTTCGGTTCTCATTAACGTTTGCTAATGTGGGTAGTAATTCGTTCAAAGTTTCGCACTTAACAAAATATCCATTATGTTAACAATTTGCTTCCTTATTTAATACGACTTTTATTCGTTTTTTAATCTATTTTCAAATATATATGTATGTGTTGTTGAAATTCAATTGTAAGTTTCTTAATGTGTAATTCTCTTTTTAATTTTATTTGTTGTATTACAGTTTCATCTTCCTCGTTGTTGTTCCCGCTGGTTTTTTATTTAAGAGTTTAGAGAATTAGACCTTAGATTGATTATTTCAAGTTCTCTCTTCTATAGCTTTCTTGTGGTTTGCAGTTGGAAACCATTTTTAATCATTGTTCTTGGGGTATTCATTGAATTGGCTTAATTGAAATACTGAATTGCTGAACACACACAGACTAAATAATGTTCGTTTCGATACTCCAAAATTAGCATCTATGCTTGGGTCCTGGAACCCGATTCAAGTTTGGTTTTTCTCAGTTAATTGCGCCATGAAAAGTACAACCTCGCTTAACACTAATCGCATGTCACAAAATATTTTAGGCCTCCACTCGATTCCCGAGATGGATAGATGGATACGAATCAATCAATCAGTGAATCAATTAATTAATTGGTAAATGTATTTATTTTGTATATAGGCATGCATGTACATAGGTGTGTATAATTATGTTTCTGTTTCTCATCGAGGTGATCAAAACATTTCTGAAGACTTTCTTGTTCACAATTGTTCTTAGTTCTTGTTAGCAAAAAACTTTGGACGTTTGGTATTCTTTTCACTTATTCAAGTTTATATAATTAGACAAACAAAATGCTTAAAGCTGCCCACAAGAATTTATCTACATTGTTTTCTTTTAGGTATTATAATTACGAATCCATTTTGGTTTTCCAGTTTATCATTAGTATTATCGTATATGTATATACTTTAAGCTTGCTGCTGCTTAACAATTAAAAGACACACAGTATGTAGGTGAAACTATTGCTACGATTATGAATACTACACTCTCTATGCGGTTGTGAATGGGTGTTCCTATATGTGTATTATAATTTTTTAAGGCATATGCACAAGGGAAGGACTCGATCATCGTCGCTCATCATTGGATTCTGGATTCTAAGTTAATTGGTAAAGACGAAAACACATACATATGTAACTAGGGGGAAGACAATACTGGGGACAATCTTTTACGCTTTTATACATAGTACAAGGTTTACAATTGGCTGCTTGATATGAGTATTATTTTTTAGTTTAGTGCTTAGTTTCTGTGAAACTATCGGACTTCGACTTTCCCTAGTAACGCACAAACTTAGAGATATTTTCGCACGGCTATAGACTACACATTAAAACTCCTCCAATTAGGCTTCATTGCAGTACTTATTGCTGTTTGGTTGATTCATCTTGCTGTCGACGTGTCCTGCTGATTGTGATGCTAAAGAATCGTATAATTAACATTTTTAGTTTCCGTTATCGTTTTTGTTGAGTGAGTGTCTCGTGTTGGCTGTGTTCTGTACTTCCAAATGGTTGAGTCCATTAGTTGATGTTTTACAATTTGTTTAAATTAAGTTTGCTTTATCAAATACCCTGCAACTTCATTTAATTATCACAGTTTTTCATCAGAGATAGTTTAAACGTTTCAATATTTTTTTTTTTCGTTTTTTCGGCTATTATTTTTAGTTTGTTTTCTCGGATTTTTGTTTTTTGTGTTCCTACAGTATGCAAAATATGCAAAAATAAAAAGCAAGCGATTTGAGATTTGTGCAATTTGGTGTGCCCAAGCTTAGTTTGCGTTTGCGACAAGGGTCCTAACTGAATTGGCAAACATTGATCTTTTTCATTACGGGTGTTTGGGAAGAGGGGATTACTTTACTCAGTTACTTTCCACACTTCTATGCCTGATATGCTGCACTTTCTTTCTCTTAACACTATTATTTTATTCTAATCTCTATGTTATATTTTTAGTTATTTTTATAATTTTTTTGGTGAGCAAATTGTCACGTGTAAAACAAACATCGATTTTACTTTTAAAGTAGTTTCCTTTTTATTTTTAAACATAATTAAAATTTAATTATTTGGAAGCAAAAGATGGCATATTTGTTTTTGAATTCTTTAAAATATTTCCTTTTTTGTTCGTGGTTCTCTGCACGTTTAAAACAAAAAACATTTTCTCAACGACAACTTGACAAGAACAGTAAAAACAATACATATAAAACATACAATGTGGTAAAGTTTAAAATGTCTTCTTGGAAAGTCTTCGTTTGAATTTCTCGTTTCTTCTGTTTGGTTCTGTTGCATTGCTAGGTAAACAGACGGTATTGATAGAAATCGAAATCGTATGTAGTATAATTGTAGGTAGTGGTGTGTAGATCAGGGATGACAAATGCCGGCCGTTGTTCGGCTTTTACTTTTCACTTTCGATCGTAGTTTCTTTCAGTGTGTTTTGTACTTTCGACATTGAATATTTTTTGGTTATACCGATTTGTATACAAATAGAGTCATAATGGCAAAAGACACAAGTTTGTGCTTGCAGCATATGGGGTGTGTGGTGTGGTGTTGTGTTGTGTCGATTGGTGTTGAACCGTTTGGTATTTTGGCATTGCTTTTGCATTCGATTCAAAATACAATAAATACAAGTCTCCAATTTACAAATACAAGTGCGCGCAAGGGGATATTCAAATATTCAGAATAATGAAGGGCGCAATTAGTATGAAGCGCTTCTCAGAAAATACTCAGGATGATAATGTAAGACAGTACTTAAATGTTTGGATATCCCCTTATTGTGTGTGTAATTATATATAATATGTATAGGTAACCCTCATCTGATCGAGCTAAAACAAATACAATAAAAATATAAACTAGGCATACTTAGACGTTGCGTAAATTTTGGTACTTTAAGTAATGCTCATTCGTTGCCTAACACATTGAGAGTATTGAAAGTAAAAGCGTTTTTAAACGACAGACTAATACAATTACAAACGAAATACAGGCTTCTTAATTAGGAAATCTGAAGGAGGAATAATAATTAAAATAATTGGCAATACGAGCGAGGAGCAGAAGGAATCAACAACATACTTTGAACATTTTTTTACCATTTTTGTTTTTTGTTTTTTTTTTCGAGTTTTTTTGTTTAGTTTTTTTTGTTTCTTCATTTTGGTTTTGGGCGGGCGTCGGCCTGTTGCTAATACACAAATCGTTTGTTGTACTATGCAGCCTGTTATATATGTACGTATAAGTAGTAGTATGTGGTATATATTCATATAAATATGTATGCATGATTATGTATAAGAATGACCAAAGAGCAAATCAAAGGCATTTTTACAAATTGTCGTCGACACACTTTATGCTATACAATTGCAGTTGGATGACGTGCGGGAGTTGTGGATGCAATTTATGTGGTTGTAGTGGCAATCTCTACATTGTTCGTCTTGGTGGCGCTGGCGGCCAATTTCTGTTGCTCCGCTGTAATGTTTCCGGCCTCGTGGCCATCGACGTCGCTGCTGCTGTTGTCGTTGGCATGATTGCTGCAAAGTAATTAAATTATTTAGAGCGTTAAAAATGTCAATGTCTTTCCACATCTCTAATAATAATGAAAACAATACACTTACAACTCATTCACTTTACTGGTTGGCCCATTTAATACCGGAGTAGTTTGTTCTGCCTCCGTTGCACGATCTGCTCCTAGGGGCTTAGTCCACATGCCCTCATCGTCCTCGTAATCGTCCTCGCCGTCCAGCAGCACAGATTGTAACCGTGTTACGATAGAAGTGGCCTCCGCAACGCCGGCTTCGGACAGCTTTTCGCTGATGGCCTTTTCCACGTTGGCATTGTTGTCATATTCCGCCTGCTGATCGTGGCTGTTATTCTGGATTGACGCATCGGAATTCTCAGCGGGTGGACGTTCCTGGGTATCCTTATTCACTTCAGGGGTGGCAGGCTTATCTTCCGAAGACACGTCCTCAGGAGGTGCGGTTGTGGGCATGCCCAGATCACTACCGAACGTGCTAAAGTGCGCATCGAAGTCAGCAAAGTTATCAGCATTGAAGTCGGCCCCCCAGTTGGCAGTGCCAGTGGGGACCTGGGCTGCCACACCAGGAATGTCGGAGAACTGGACATCCATGTCCCAGGGATCTGCCAGGTTGCTCAGGGTGATGGAGTTTTTCGTAAACATTCCGTGTCCGGGCCCATGGCCGTCGCCTGCTCCCGAATGGTCGCCATGTTCATCATCATCATCGTCTTCATCGTCAATGTTGCGTCCAAACTGAAACAGGTTCTGGTCGTTGTCCATCGTAAACACTATGTCCTGTAGCGTGTTATCCAGATCGCTGTAGCCCATGTTACTGTATGTCAGAGCTCCAATGTCCCAAGCGTTCGTCTCGCCTATCTCGTAATCTTTTGAACCCACACTGTACTCATTCTCCTCGTGAGGATTGCAATTGGCCAACAGTTTTGTCTGCTGCTTAGCTGCCAAGGTGAACTCTCCCGTTTCCGCATCGATTAGGGACTGCCAGAGTGCCTGCTCGGCCTCGTCGCTTAGGCTGGAGGAGATCAAGGCGGCGATATGTTCGGATTCCGATATACAATTCGTGATGTGGCGTAAAATTTTAATAAGGTGTCCCATGTAGCCCAAGCGACGACCCTTTTCGGCGGCCCTGAAAATTTATTTTCGTTAAATTAACCTCGTAAGATAAAATATAGAAGTATAAAACTTACTGCGCCTGGGCATTGTGCTGCCAGTAGTCAACCAGCTTGGACACCAAATGGCAGTTGACAATCAACTAAAAATATCGAAACAAAACTATATAAAAATTCGAAGAATTGAATCTCAATTATTTACATGAGTTTGCAATTCCGAGGGAGGGGCACTGGGCGCCGCCTTAGTCTTGTCGAGATCGTTAAGAGTGAGCTCCTCTTCCTGCTGCTCCGCCGCGATTTGACCATCAACTTCGGTATTCTCTTCGTGGTTCTCAACAGAATCGGTTGCAACAGTTTCAGTGGGCGTTTCTTCAGCTTGAGCTTCTGCAGCTATCTCGACGTCAGTTGTCTTTTCTTGCGGTTCTTCTTTGTCACCAGCCAGAGCTTTGGCAGCCGAATCCAACTCTCGCTTCATGTCGTTTAGGGCATTCTTGACCTCGACATCTTCAGTGTCAACTTTCAGGAAAGCGTTTATGAGGCAGTCGGCGGTAAAAAAGTCTGTGACCTCCGTGGAACCCGTGTTGTTATTGGAGAGCTCGTTGTAGAACACCAAGTGCAGGGCCTTTTCCAGTTCGCTGTGCAAGAAGTTGTTCCAGCAGTATTGTTTAAAGTACTCCAACAACAGACTAAAGTACTCCGTTGCACAAATACTAAACGTAATACAAAAAATATATTTTTATATTTTTAGTTTCTCTGACTTTAAATACACTTACGCCTGATGAATGGTCTCGTGCTTAGTTTCCAGCAGGGCGGTGAACACGCGGCACACTTGCAAGCGAGTCTTGCCAAATGGGGGCGTCAACACGGCTGCCGTCGTTTCGAGTGTTGGTTTCTGCAACCAAAAACAGTCATCAACTGGTTCTAGGCCGGAAAAACTGACATTCAACTTACCGCGGGCGGGTTCTTGAGCACATGAACAAATTCCTGGAGGCGTGGCGCCATCACAGTGATCACAGTCTCCTGTACTTCCTGGTGGAACTCCCGCTCACGTTTCTGAAGCAAACGCTGGCGATCCGAGTTGGGCTCATCTCTAAAACATTAGTTGTGGCATTATTTTACTTGGGATATTAAGAATCAGAGAGTAAAACTCACGTAAAGGTAATTGGCTTAATAAGCGTAAGTACAACCGATATTCCTGATAAGATGGCGCTCTCCTGAGCGTTTGGTTCCAAAATCACATTTAACAAGGCTTCAATTGTGTCTGCGGATTCAATTGTCTTTAGAATGGGATTGGAGCCATCGAAGGCCGGCTCAAACGAATCGTTCTCCTGCTCGGTCTGACGCATCAGGCGCCCTTGGTTAATAAGATCACAGAAAAAGTCGGCAACATTTGCATGTTTTTCGGTTTCTTGAGGATTACGCAATATTGCAATCAGTCTCTCAACAATTTTATCTTCAGTTAGCCACTGTAATGGCAAAAGAGGAAAAGTTTAGTACTTAACTATTGGAGGTGGATATCTCAGAATACTCACTTCGAAAAGGTTCCTTTTGAGTTGACCACCCTCGATGTCCTTCATCATTTGCATTATTAAATCAGGTATGACAGGTGTGTCAAAGTGTTTACAAATGAAATCCAAAAAGGTCTTCTGCGATTTAATATACTCCAGGAGTTGTAGGCACATGTGTTGATACAAAAACCAATCTTGTTCAGGCTTTTTGGTAAAGAGCATGCTAAACGTTTTGCTAAAAAACGACGATAGCAATGGATTTAACGGTGGTTCCTTTTCCAGATATGAATACAGAAGCTGAAGGGTCTCCGGGTCGGTCAGAAGCTTTTCATCCAGGGACGGCAGGCCGCTAAAAAGACCATTGTTTCATATAAACATCAACAGGCTATCGAAATATGTATGTAGGCCAACTTACAGTGTGAGTATCTCACAGGACATGTTCGCATAGCGGAAACGCTGCGCCATGGGTACATCTTCATTCGGCTCGGTTGTGATCAGCTCCACCAGACGCCGGATGACCTCGGGACGTGTAAAGTAGTTTACCAGGTTCTTCTTTTGCGTCTTGCACTCCTGTAGTATGTCCTCCTCATCCAGGAATTCCTCCAGTGTGGAGTTCTGCGAACACAATTGGTCGTTACTCAGACAATTACTGACGATCCCCGATCCGGGGGCCACCTACCTCCTTCTCCAGCAGCGCCTCTATATTCGCGGAGGGCGCATAACCCTTGTCCCAAAACATTTTTCGCACGTACGTCTTGGCGGTGACACTTTCAGGCTTTGGGAAACAAGAAATCTCACTTCTTCGCTCGGCTCGCGAATCTCGGACTTGGATCGGGCTGGTTCTTGGCTAAGCATGCACGGCACTGAAAGTGGAATCACTCAATTAAAACACTCGCACAAAGTAATGCGTAAATTTTGCAATTATGCCAAGAAGGCTCCACATATACACTGCTTCTGCTGGCTGCAAAATAGTCTGCCGCGCGGCTTAGGCACGCAATTCAGTTAGGGGACGTGGCCGCTGCACTTACGGGTTAGTTGCACTTTGTTTTTTCCACTGGCTGTTGCACTTTTAATTGTTTTTCGACCGAAAAAACCACGCTATAATTTTCTTCACTGCTTCTAGAGGTGGAAAATTTTCGATTGCTTTGTATGGTAACAAGTGCGATAACAAATACGTTATAAGGGATGGACTTGTTCAACAGCTAATAAATATATTATCCTATATAAATTCTATCCCTTTTATATATTTTTAAAGGCGTCGAAATTTTAATAAAAATAATTTTCGAGTCGACTATATAGTTTATATAAACTTGCTTGCGGGGTTTCTTTGTTGACTTCATAAATTGGGTCAGTCCCAATATTTATTCTCCCAAATTTTTTTATTTTATTCTTAAATATATACATATGTATACATTATAAATTTGTAATATAAAACATTTGAAGATGCGATTTAATATAACGCAAACATTAAAAAAGTGTTAGCCCATTGGAGGTGAAAACGCAACATTAAAAAAATGTTATCGGTTCGCATTCATCGCTTCTGTTTTGTTATTTTAGAATTTTGCGCCCTGAGAGCGATGGAGCATGGAGTTGTTTTGTGCGAAATAGCAGAGGAAATCTCCCCAGAAGGCCCGGAAGAGCCGTCAGAGTTTGCCTTTGGGAAGCGACGATGGAGGGTCAGGGAATTTTTGACCGAAAAAGCAGAGGCTATCGGGATTTGCATACAAGAATGTGAGTCCAGTGAATATATTCGGTAAATCAGCTATTTTTATGGTTTATTCAAGGTCTGGAGGCGCGAACCAGGAAGCTGAGCTTCAAGGCGATCAAACAGGAGTCGGGAATATGGAAGCTGGTCCTCTTTCACGACCAGCGAATCGCTAGAGCTCGTCCCGCCGAGTTGCAAATGGCTGACATACTCCTTCCATTAATATTTCGAGACTACACGCCAAGTCTAGAGTTCGAAGTGGCGGAGCAGGAGCGCCTGCACCAGCGGCCCCTTAAAACATACGTGACCACCAAGCTGTATGACGCGCTCTACGACCGTCATTTAAAAGCCACGAATGTATCCCAAGATCAGAAACTACTCCTGCCAAATCGCTTCAAGTCGAAGCTGCGAAAGTATCAGGAGCGAACAGTCATCTGGATGCTTCAAAGGGAACAGAAGCCTGCCGAAATTACTGCCAATTATACGCCTCTCTATTCTGTAGACGGTATTAGTAGGGTTTTCAAACACAATTACTGCCTTCAGTTTTACGCCCATGAAGATGCACTTCCAAAGATATTACTCCCCCCCGGAGGCATTTTGGCGGACGAAATGGGGTTGGGAAAGACTGTCGAGTTCCTGGCAATGTTGCTGATGAACCCCAGGCCGCCGGAGTCCTGCAACAATACGTATTGGCACGCCAAAATTGAAGAAATTGAGAGCGAAGTCCCTCTTAAGCTGATGCGAAAGGGAAACGGCGGTGAAGCATTCTGCGTCTGCACCTCAAAGAAAGGTGCTCGGGTGCAATGTTCAAAGTGCCGCCTCTGGCAGCACAAACATTGCATGAATAGTTCCGATGACATACCTCACCTCTGTCCCAACTGCTGGGCGGATGTGGTTGAATCCTCAGGTCGGCTTGTAGAAACGGGAGCCACGTTCATCGTCTCACCCAACGCCATTAAGATGCAGTGGTTCCGCGAAATGAAGAAGCACATTTCCCCAAACCTAAAGGTCCTGGTCTACAGAGGCTTGCATACTGGGGCTGGCAACTGGTACAGTCCTCTGCACCTAGCTGAGTACGATGTGGTCCTTACCGACTATGTTACGCTGCGCAACGAGATCTACCATACGGCGGATTTCGTTTCCGACCGTCAGTTGCGCCACCAGCGGTTGTACATGCGATCCAACAGTCCTCTCTTGATGGTCAACTGGTGGCGCGTGTGCCTGGACGAGGCTCAGGTAACCAAGCCGACTTTGTTGTAAAACAAATGCAATAGTTTGTTTTAATAAAAGATTACCTTTTCAGATGGTAGAGAGCAACACGTCGGCGGCAGCAGAAATGGTACGGAAGCTGCCGGCTATCAATCGCTGGGCCGTCACCGGCACCATTGATGACTTGCCGCCATTACTGGAATTTGTGGGTCGAACAGAGGCCACTCAGCCGCCGGACGCCTGGAAGACGGTGCACAAGGCCTTTCAGCTCAACCATCAAACCGAACCGCTGCTCGACCTACTCCAACACAGTCTTTGGCGAACGTGCAAGTCCAAGGTCGAGCATGAACTGGGGATACCGCCGCAGATGGAGTTGGTGCACCGCCTGGAACTAAGCAACGTGGAAGCCCTCTACTATCGCGAGGAGCACTTTAAGTGTCATGAGCAGTTCCTGGCCGCAGTCGCCAAACACACACGCCACAATCCTGACAATAGTTCCTGCCTGGCGTCCATTTCTCCGCAGTTGTTGCGAGTAATCCTGAAGCCCTTTCTTCGCATCCGACAGACCTGCTCCGTGCCCGTGGTGCACAACAGCACCGTATCAAGCACAGACTACCTCAACCCGCAGGACCTTTTGGAGCGCCTCAAGTCAAATAATGAGACGGAATGCAAGTCCGAGCTGCGCAGCTGGGCTTCCTCCTACAATGGCTTGGCTGCCATTCACTTTATTCGCGAGGACTTCCCCCAGGCCATCAAGCACTATAAGCTGCTGCTTAAACTAGCTGCGGACTACAACAAGGATAGTATATCGTAAGTAACCATGAATATGCTGATCTAGTAGCTCTTAATTCTTTGATGCCCCAACAGTGTGGACAGTGTGCTGCAGATTCACGCCATCTATAACCTACTCCAGGCTAGTGACGCCGCTGCGCCGTGCGAAAGGGTTTCTGAGGCGGAGAAACAGACCTACGAGTCACAAATGAAGCTATTGGAGTGGAAGTATCTGCAGGACAATGTAGCGGTTCTCCAGGCGGCTCTTGGCTCCTACGAATCCAAACTAAACGAGCTGTGCGAATTAGGAAATAAGTTTAAGGACAACGTTGTGCGTTTGCTGGCTACGGTGGTCAATCATAAGCCGGCCCTGCATAATTCCATATGGAACAAAGTGCGGGATGACTTCGCCCGCAAGAATATCTCCATGAAAAAGCTTCTGAATGTAGACTCCATGTCTGGCATGGTGTATGTTGTGGATTTATGGTTCCAGAAGGTACAAAATTTGAACGATCACGTCATTAAGGAGATTGAATTCTTAAAAGAAATAATGGAGAGTGCTTGTGGCGCCATTAAGATGGGTGCGCCCCTTTCGCAGGAAATGCACAATTTTATAGCAACTGTAACAGACTGCCATCTGGCTGATATTCTGGTGAGCCAATTATGCTAACAATTATGTGCCAATATAATGAAAAAACTAATTCTTTTTCAAAAGGACGACAAGCCGAATGACAACCCAGAAAAACCAAAGAAACCACGACACTGCCGTCTCTGCAAGATTAGGGACTGTCTTAACCAGTTTGAGTGTCTAGTCTTTGCCAAAGAGCTCGACGATGACGCCGAAGCAACCGAGGGCCTCGAAGTGCCTAGCATGGAGATTAGTCTCATAACAAGTAGCTATAACTGCGTTACAATACCCTAGTCACGGATGACTAATTATAGCTTTCCTCAGGCATCTTCAACTTCCTGCGCTCCAAGCCCGCCTTCGCCGAGTGGCAAACGGAACTGCAACACCAGTTGGATTTTCTGACTTGCCTCCAAAGTGTCGTGAAGCTGCAGATCAAGTACTGGATTGAGGTCGAGTACATGGTAAAGGCCTTTGACGAACTGGAGATGTGCAAAATGCGCATTCTTCTGACCGACGATCCGGATGAGCAATCGAACTACCGCATCCTGGCCTGCCAGTTGGACGAACAGCTGCAGTTCAATCAGGTGAACTTGCAGGAATCGCAGCTTAACTTCACGAGACTGTTTGGACGCCTGAAGTACCTGAAGCATCTGAAGGAGGATGCCACTGACAAGCCGTGTCCCATTTGCCAGACGCACGACGACCTGAGGGTAAGTTATGAAACTAAAGATCACCCCCTGGGAAAATACATCTTCCTCTCTGGTAGTATGTGATGATGGTCTGCGGTCACTTCGTGTGCCAACTCTGCCTTGAGAACATGAAGAAGAGTACATTGCACGGGATCTCCAAGTGTCCCATATGTCGCCAGGACTCTCCGCAGTAAGAATGGAATCGGCCTCAGGCATCCCTAAACCTTTTAATGATTGAAACAATTTTATAGATTATACTACTCGGTGCGGCGAGAAGCAGGAGTCTCCATTGCCGGTGACTTCTCCACAAAAATCTCTAGCATTGTGGAACAACTGCTGAAAATAAGGTCCGCAGACCCACATGAGAAAATCTTGATCTTTTCGCAATGGCAAGCCATTTTGTTCCAAATCTCCAAAGCTCTGGCCTTAAACAAGATCGAATTTCGGAGCAAGTGCGTCGAGCAGGATTTTGCGGACTTTAAGGTTAGTATCGACGTGGTTTCAAAGGCTTTTGTTGGCTCTAATATTGGCATCCTTTAGAATCCCAATCTCAACGTAACCTGTTTGTTGATGCCGCTGTCAAAGGGCTCCAAAGGACTCAATCTAATAGAAGCGACGCATGTCTTCCTAGTGGAACCCATCCTAAATCCAGGAGACGAAAAACAGGCAATCGGCCGCATCCACCGATTCGGTCAAACAAAGTGAGTTTCTATTTAAAACATTACTAAGAACGTTTCTTATGAATTTCCAACACTTTTGCAGGCCCACCAAAGTACATCGTTTCATCGTAAACGGAACGATTGAGGAGAACATACTTTCATTGATTGCCTCAGCCGACGATACCACGACACTGTCCACCCACTGGGATCTAGAGAACATGACGCTCGAGGGGCTCAAAAAGCTGTTTATCCTTCGGAATACAAATTAGAATTAGATGATCCAAGTGAGGAGAACCAAAGTCGGACCGAAGATTACTTACCTCTGCAGGAGCGAGGTATATTATTTACTATTGACTTCAATTCTTAAAATTTGTATTTATTCAACACCGACGAAAAATAGGACTTAAATTAACAAAATGGGTATGAAATGAATATACCCACTTCAATGTTGTACAAATTCGTGTCATCTGGTTTCGTTGCTTGATACTGATACTCATTCCATGTAAATAGATCCAAATCTATCCAATAACCATTTTCATTAAAGCAGACCTTTTAGTATTACACTCAATTTTCCTCTCCTTTGGGTGTTTTTAACAAAAGACCAGTTTATAATCATTTATATTCTCTTTATCAAGTTAAAACCCTGATTATTGAAAATTGCTCACTTAATAATATTATTTGATACAATCCATATTTTATACAATATTTTTAAGATTATATATAGTATAATTTAAGAATACGTGTGTATAAGCCTTAGTATATGTTACACCTTATAAGAACAAGAAAGTATTGCTTTCTGTGTAAGACCCAAGGCTGATTCCCCGCCTCTGATGCTGAGTCTCACACATGGTCTATCTTTAAGTCGTCGAGGCTGGAGCCCTCAGCCTGAGCCTTCTGAGCGTAATAGCCATCGTAGGAGCTTTGCGCTCGATCGACCTCCTGCTGGTGCTGCAGGCGATGAAGTTGTTCGTGGGCAGCCTCCTGGATGCGGCGTCGCTCTTCGTCGGCATGCCGCTTCACCTCGTTCTCCTCGATCTGTTGTGCCTGAAGTTCAGCAGACGCAGCTGCTCGTTCCGCCGCCGCCTCCTTGTATTCATCGTATGAATGTAGATTTCGGTCTGTCTGCTCCAGCTTGTGCAGCGAGGAAAGCTGCTCTTTGGCCGCTTCTGCTATTTCTTTCCGTTTGGCCTCCGCCTGACGCTTGGCCTCCCTCTTGCTCCGCTCCTGTTCCTCCAGCTCCTCGCGCGCTGCATAGAACTTGGGTGAAATCACCGGGGGTCGATTCTCGTGGGTGCGCTGGTGGCGCTTCAACGCTGTTTCTTGGCGGAAGTGCGTGCCGCAGGTCTTGCATTCGAAAGGCTTCTCGCCAGTGTGAATCCACTCATGGTGCCGCAGGGTCTGGGCCTTTGCAAATCTCTTCGGGCAGAAGCGGCAGGCGAAGTCCTTAACTTTCTCATGGATGATCTTGTAGTGACGCTTCATGTTCCCAATGTTGTTGAATCCCTGCCCACATCCGGGGCAGATATGCTTGCCCTCCTTCTTCGTAAAGTTCACTTGCGGCGACCACGAGGGCACTGAAACAGAGGGTATCGGATTCACAGCAGTGCCCGCTAACTGGGCGATGTCCACGCGTTCAACGCGGCGTGGGTCTTTGGGAATGGTGGCCACGGATTCTGCGCACACCTTCAACAGCTCATCGGCAGCGGTTTGGGAAACTATGATGGGCTCCGCGGCAACTCCTTCGATTGCAACTCCTGCGAGATCCGGAGTATTGAGCAATTGATCGCCAGATACTTCACCCATTTCCACCTGCCGCTGGCGGTAGGTCTCGATGGCCCTCAGCACCCGTTTCTCGTGCGTCTTCAGGTGCTTCGTAAGGCTCTTGGGGTACAAGAATTTCTTTCCGCAAACCTGGAAATTGACAAAGTATTAGGACACATGCTTGGGATGACCCTTTACGGCTCACCTTGCACTCGCAGCGCTTTTCACCCGTGTGCGTCATCTCGTGGATCTTGCAGGCATGCGACTTCCCAAATGTTTTGCCACAGTACTGACAGGCGTAGTTTTTGATCTTCTCGTGGACTATCTTGATGTGGTTCGCCAAACTTTGCTTGTTGTGCGAGGCATGCTCGCAGATGTGGCACTTGAACTTCTTCTCCTGAGTGTGGGTTAAGATGTGTGTGTTCCATTCCTGCCGCGTCGTTTTTCCCACTCCACAGTACGGACAAACGTAGTTCTTGATTCCGGCGTGCCTCATCAAATGGTCCTTCAATGCACTGTTGATCACAAACCGCTTGCCACAGATGTTGCATGGGAAAGGTAGTTCCTTGCCGTCGTGCTTGTACATGTGCTTCTTTAGAGCCATTGGGCACCGGAAGACCTTGTCGCACTCGGTGCACGGGTAGTCCCTAGGCGGAGCCGCTGCCTTGCTGATTCCGTGCGCCTTTTTCATGTGAAAAGTAAGAAGGCGGACTCGGGGGAATGTTTTTCCACAGCCATCCACGCTGCACGAATGCACTTCCGACAGCTCCGTGTGGGCATGGTCAATGTGCAACCTTAATCCTCCAGCGGTTGTGAAACCTAAAACCAGCATGATTCGAGATTACCATTTTTTAGGAAAAAATATTCGAGAACTCACCTTTCCTGCAACTCTCCACCGTGCACTGGAAGGGTAGTAGGTCGTTGTGGTGCTTCATGTGCTCCTCATAACGTATGGCCTTCTTGAACTTCTGGTGGCAGATGTGACAGTCGATGATCCGGTGCAGGTGTCGCTCACCAGGCGGAATTTTCTTACGCTGGGTCCTTGACTTTTCACCGTCCTCATCATGCTCATCGGAACCGGATAGCAATCCTTCTTCCTCTTTCTTTGCCGATCGGCCCACTTTCGGTTTTATCGCTGGCATGGTACTACCCCTGACCCGCTGTGCCAAGGGCATGTCGTCGTCGCTGCTGTTGGGATCAAAGTCCACATCTTCGTTGTCACTCTCCTCCGAAGAATCCCCGGCAAACAGGTTAATCAGATCCGCAGAATCCATTTCGTCTTGCTTCACCTCTTTCTCCACCAGCTCAGCCTCCTTGTCAACGTGCTCCAGCATCTTAAACACATCTTCGTTCTCAATCAGCTCCATTTTGTGATCCAACAGAGGGTCGAAGTTTATGCGATCCTCCTCCTCCTGCCCCACCAGCTCTGCCTCGTTTCCAGCTACACTCAGGACGTCGAATGTTTTGATTTGAGCATTTGCCGGCGGGCAAAAAACGTTCCTGGCCACCATGTCCTGGAACTTCCGAACGGAGTCCACGCAGAGTTTCTGGAACTGGTGCATGTCGTCCAATTTCGTGTAGCAGATGAAGCACAGGCATTTAGGAAAACCGTCCTGGGGCTCCACCGCCAGCGACGTGCACACACATAGCTTTTTGGCCAGCCCCGGCTCTTGGAACAAGTCATGACCTCCAGATCCGTTCTCGGGCAGTCGGTTTAGGCAGATTCGGCAGACTGAGTGCACCGAGTATTGGGAACGCTCCTGCTCCATGGCGCCTATGATCGAATGGTGGATATCCAGAGGCCAAAGGCCAGAAAAGATAGAAAATCGTCGCCTTTCGCGTTTTGCGAACCAAAACACAGTATAGCGATGACACTTTAATTAGTGATGACACCGCGTACACGATGCCACCTCCAATCTGTATATCGGTTATCGATAAAGCGGCGCCAAATTTAAATCCACTTTTGTGTTGGGGCTGTTAAATTCGTTCAAGATTTTCAATAACCAAGAAACCAAGTAAAAAATTAATGTGAAAGGCATATATTTGTTCGCCCGGCCAAATATAAAACGGCAATGTTAGTTAAATAAATTGTCATTTGTTATTGAATGCAATAATGTGCAAACTCAAATATCTGAGCGAAAAATAAAGTTTACATAGAATAAAACGTTAAAAACCAGGCGTTCAAAATACGAAAACTAGTTGGTAATCCTTAAAGACCTATAACGCATATGTCCTTCATAGAAAAACACAATAGAAAAGAGCAGACACGGGCTGCGAAAAGGGGAAATCCTCGCATCCATGCTTTCAGACGTGGTCGAGTTTCAAAGCGTCCACTGATGTTCCTTCCGCCTCGGCTTTTTGGGCGTAGAATCCGTCGTAGGTGTTGGTCTGTTTTTGCAGCTTATTGAGCTGCTCGAAGGCCGCCTCCTGGATTTTTCGTAGCTCTGCCTCGGCCTTGCGCTTTGCCTCGTTCTCCTCGATTTGGTAGGCCAGAAGTTCCGCCGTAGCTGCTGCCCGTTCCGCAGCCGGATCCTGGTACTGCTCGAAGTTCTTTGGCTGCTGGCGCTTCACTGTGGTAGTGCTCGTCTCCGATTTGGAACTGGCGGGCTCCTTGGTTTTTCCTGGTGGACGTGGAGGCTTGTCGTGCACCTTCATATGCGTCTTTAGCACCTGCTCCTGGCGGAAATGCTTGCCGCAAACCTTGCACTCGTACGGTTTTTCGCCCGTGTGAATGTATTCGTGGTGCCGGAGATACTGCTTCTTGGCGAATCGTTTTGGACAAAAGCGGCAGCAGAAGTCCTTTACCTTCTGGTGCACCACCTTATAATGTAGCTTCATGTTGCTGACGTGGTTAAAGCCCTTACCGCAGTCGGGGCACATGTGCTGGCCTTCTTTCTTCGTGAAGTTCACTTGCGGCGACCAAGATGGTAGGTTAACCGAGGGTATCGGATTGGCAACTGTGCCCGCCAGTTGAGCAATGTCCACGCGTTCTACGCGTCCACGCAAGTGCGGACTGGGCTTGGCAATCGTCGTAGAGGCGGACCCGCCAGCCGCGTCAGTTGCCAGAGGATTGGGGGTCGGCTGCGTCTTGGGCAGATCCCTCTTTTCGTGAGTCTTCAGGTGCTTCGTGAGGCCCTTTTCAAACAGGAACACCTTTCCGCAGATCTTGCAGTCACAGCACTTCTCCCCCGTGTGACTCCTCTCATGAATTTTGCACGCGTGCGACTTGCCAAACGTCTTGCCGCAGTATTGGCAGGCGAAATCCTTTCGTTTCTCGTGCACCACCTTCACATGGTTGGCCAAGGCCTGCTTGTTGTGCGAGGCGTGATCGCACAGCCGGCATTCGTACTTCTTCTCTTTTGTGTGCGTCAGGATGTGCTTGTTCCACTCCTGCCTGGTGGTCTTGCCCACGCCGCAGTAGGGGCAGACATGATTTTTGATGCCAGCGTGACGGAGCAAATGGTCCCGCAGAACGCTGTTGATGGGGAAGCGCTTGCCGCAGATTTCGCAAGCGAACGGCAGCTCCTCGCCCGTGTGCTTATACATATGCTTCTTGAGGGCCGTGGGACAGCGGAAGACCTTT